TTGCCAACAAGGGTATTGCCACCAAGTACTAAGTCATGTTTTGCAGAGGGGTCAAATACTTATTTCCCTCATTCAAATGCAAATCAATTTATAACATTTTTGACATGCGTTTTTCTGGATTGTTTTGTTTTTATCTCTCACTGTTCAAATAAACCTACCATTAAAATTATAGACTGATCATGTCTTTGTCAGTGGGCAAACGTACAAAATCAGCAGGGGATCAAATACTTTTTTCCCTCACTGTATGTTAGAATTTCTATGTTTAGGATCTAGATGTGTATTTCTAGGTTTGGCCGAGTGTGATTCCCAATCAGAGGTAGCTGTCGCTCGTTGTCTCTGATTGGGGATCATACTTAGGTAGCCCATTGCCTATTGTGTATTGTGGGATCTTGTTCCTGTTTAGGCTGGTATTTGTATAGCCCTTTGGACTTCACGTTACGTTGTTTCTTGTTTTGGTTTGTATGTTTATTGGGTGAATAAACATGTACGCTTTTCACGCTGCACCTTGGTCCAACCCGTCTCTCAACGTTCGTGACAGAGAAACAAGTACATGTATAATTGGAGGAGGGGTTCAAGTGAGGCAGGTTGCCCTGTGAGTCCACTTCATGACCTTCTCCTCTCCTCTCTCTCTCTGTCTCTCCTCTCTTTCCACTGTACGAGGGCAAAGCTCTCCACATCAAAACACCCCCAATTTCTAATAATAAGTCAGTTATTAATGTTTAGTTCTCAGTCGGCATATTGTTCACGTAATTACCCGGCCTGGGAAAAACAAACAATTAACCAGTCAGCAGAAATCCCTAATTGGGATTAAAAGGAGATAATACATCTCTCATTTTATGCAAACGATTACTGAGAGCCAGTGAACAGCCCTGGTGAGGCAATTTGGAAAACGGATATGTCTTTCCCGCTCTCCCTCTCTCCTAGGCTGCGTCAGACACACACTCATGTACGCACACACACACACAAAATCACTGCACCAGAGTGGGAGGCCGTTATTAGAATCGTTAGGGGGTTTCTATGGGTGTCCCCTCATGAACCCCTCTCTGAAAATGGAGTGTTGACATTTGACACTTCTTAACTGGACTTTGGATGAGTTCATTAGGCAATAAGGCAAGAGAACCCATGGATTATTGAGAATAGCACACAGCTAAGGGCTGTTCTTAGGCGTGATGCGAACGCGAAGCGGAGCAAGGTTTATACAAACCCCTGCTGTTGAAAAATCTAATGTTGGCAAGAATCAATGGGAAATAACATCTCTAGATGCTTTATTCCAGTGGAGATAAAGTTTATGAATTGCCTGGCTGTGCTATGGGACAGTGAATATTTCAAATTGAACTGTTCTCAGGCATTATGGTCCTTTGTAGTTTAGTTGGTAGAGCATGGCGCTTATAATGCCAGGGTAGTGGGTCCGAATCCCAGGACCACCTGTATATAAAATGTATGCTTGCATGACTAATTTTGCTTTGGATAAAAGCGTCTGCTAAATGGCATATATTATATTATTACCCGTTGATTATCATGAATAACTAATGCCTATCAACCAATCAGCATTCAGTATCCAAACTATCCTATTCAGCTCAGTAGCTAAACTCTAAACTCATTAGAGGAATAATGACAGGAAGCTTATTCAGAGACAATAAACAGGTCGATAGACAGGCTCCATTTACAGGCTCCTATCAGTACAGTGAATGTTATCAGTCAGCAGAGAGGAAATGTGTTGTTTACTGGGGAACACAGAACAGGTTATGACCAAATAAACAAATTCTACTGGGAATTGTTTGGATAGCAGGTGCAGGGTTAGCCACGCGTTTACCCCGCTTAACTTTTAACGTTAATTAAAAAGATAAGAGTTCCACATCACGTCTTTTCCTTCCCCTCTTTTTCCTCCTCTTCCTCCTCCTCTCCATGAAATGCTAATTAAACAAGCTTCATTAAATCACATTTCACTTCTCTGCTGCGTTTTGCTGAGGGGACACACAGGCGGCTTAACATTACACTGCCGTTTTCTGTGTGTTTGTGTTTGTGTGTCCATCTCTGTGTGTGTGTGTGTTTATGTTTGTGTGTGTCAATCGGTGTGTGTGTGTGTGTGCCAGTATGTGTGTGTGCCCCCATCTCTGTGTGTGTGCCCATCTGTGTGTGTGTGTGTGCCCATCTCTGTGTGTGTGTGTGTTTGTGTCCATCTGTGTGTGTGTGTGTGTGTGTGTGTGTGTCCATCTGTGTGTGTCCGTCTGTGTGAGCGTGCCCATCTCTGTCTGTGTGTGTGCCCATCTGTGTGTGTGTGTGCCCATCTCTCTCTCTGTGTGTGTGTGCCCCACCTCTGTTTGTGTGTGCCCATCTGTATGTGTGTGTGTGTGTGTGTGTGTGTGTGTGTGTGTGTGCGCGCGTGCATGTGTGTTTTCCAGTTATTAAAAATGCTGATTTGTCCTCAGATGATGAAAGTCTACAGGTCTGATTAAACCCTCCCTACAGAGGCCCAATGCAAACAAGCAGCAGGCTGAATGAAATCATCTGGACGTAAATAGAATCATTGCTACAGTAAATCTCCACTCCGCTGACTGAGTTTTACAATTATCAGAGTTCCTGATCTCTCCCAAAACACTGCCATCAGCCGAATGTGTTTCTGAGTAAAGTTGGGCTTTCTGATATGGGTTTCTGGTTTGGTTTAATGGTGAGAGAGAGAGGGAGGGAGAAGGAGAGGGAGAGGGAGAGAGGGAGGGAAAGAGATAGGGAGATTACGACAGTGTGTGTGCGCATGTGTGCTTGAGTGTGTGTGTATTACTTCAAGCGAGGGATGGATAGAGATGGTGATAGTAGCAGTGTTTCAGTGACTGTCCTGTCTAAATGCTTCAGGCCATCCACATCTAACGGCCGTGGACACAAAGCCGTTCCTGATTGTCGTCGATGCTGTGAGCATGTGGCATCATTAAGTGCCTTTGGCTTTAATCAAGACCATTCTTCCAATTACCTGCATTCACATACTGCATGTCGGCCATTCTCTCTCCCTACGTAACAACCCTCCACTCTCATTACCTTCAACGCTGGAAGGCAAGCCTGCATCCCAAATGACACCCTATTCCCTGTAGCTCCACTGTCTTAAATGACACCCTATTCCCAACCAGAGGATGAAGTTTAAATATAATGCACTGTATACAAAATAGGGTGATATTTTGGGACACAGTTCAAGGTAGCATCCCATTGACTCTGGTCAGAAATAGTGTACTACTTGCGTAGGGAATAGGGTGTCATTTGAGATGTAATGCTTAGTTGTTACTGAAGCTACAGGTTTACTGACATTATTATTACAATGCTGAGTAATTGCTCATTAAGATGCAGTTGATGAGGCTAGTTAAGTGACGAAACCAGACAGACGTATGTGCGCGCGCGCGCACACACACACACACACACACACGCACACGCACACACACACACACACACACACACGCACACACACGCACACACACACACACACACACACACGCACACACACACACACACACGCACACACACACAATATTCTCTAAGTGATGGACCCAGAGCCCAATAATTATCACCCTTCCACTTAACGTCTCGCTAATCAAAGCGTCTGACGATTGTTTTTGGAATCAAAGAGCTCGCTGCCGCGGGCTCTAATGCTGCCGCTTGTGATGTTAAAACTTAGTTAAAAGAAGAGGAGAGAGATAATGATGAGAGGCTGTGTTGATGAATCTGTCGTTAGTTACACCTGAGGAGAAGAGACCTCAAACCCTGCTCAACTCTTGACAGTGTTAACTCTCTGATGGTATCTGAAGACTAAATGAAACCTGACTGGTTTGAGTGTCTGACTGGTAAATGTCTCGAGCTCCTTTCAATACCCGAGGGAGAGCCAGACCATATGTTCCTATCCTCACTGTTGATTCCCCACTTATAGTAATGTATGCTCGTCATACAGTAACAGTTGAATGAGAAGGAAGACCAAAGCTTCAAGCACGTAAAGGAGGTGGTACTAGAATTCCTATCTCAGATCCCTTTTGGTTCAATAAATTGTCTCTCCATGTTAGCCACAGTGGCCATTTTGTGCCAGAACGTTCACCACACAATAACCATGTTTCCATCCAACCATTTTGTGCCAGAACGTTCACCACACAATAACCATGTATCCATCCAACCATTTTGTGCAAGAACGTTCACCACACAATAACCATGTTTCCATCCAACCATTTTGTGCCAGAACGTTCACCACACAATAACCATGTTTCCATCCAACCATTTTGTGCCAGAACGTTCACCACACAATAACCATGTTTCCATCCAACCATTTTATGCGGACGAAAATGAAATAAAAACTCCAGACAGGCCTGATGGAAACAGCACATTTGATGGAAAAATGTCCTAATGTTGACAACACAAAATACGCTAGATGGATCGATTTAGTGTGGTGAAATAGATTGTGACAATTGCGGTAGAAACACTTTTACTTGCCAATATTTATATAATAACCATCACATTGAAGTAAACTTGAATTCACGCCATGATATTTTGTGTTGTCCTTCCACCATGACGTGGAAAAGCATGAAGAGTTTTTAGGCAGATGAAATAAGTTATGAACTTCACATGGTGGTTAAGTGATGGACGGTGATGAGCTTGATGCAAATTTCCAATAAATATTGAGGGTATTGATTGGCTGCCAATTATCAACTAAAAATGATCTTGCTCTTATCCATATTTCATCATGGAAACTACCCTCTCCACATTATCAGCGAACTGTTGTCTAGAGAGCATGCACCAAGACGAGATTGGGCAAGTTAGCTACTTATCGCAACAGTTTTTGTGACAAAACCATCCAGTCAATTTGAAGGAAACACTCTTCTGCAATCTTTTTTGTGCAAATATTTGATAATTCCCTTGAAAGAAATGTGTGGAGGGGGATGGAAACCTAGCTAACAACCATCACCATAGACTAAGGTGAAACGGTAACTGTACCCCACCTTGAGTTCCTCCAGGTCGGGTCTCTCCATGCTGACCACTGCAGCCAGTAGCTGGTCCTCCAGACCGTCCCTGGTCACAGTGAAGTTCATTAGGGTACACTGGGCCTGGAGCTCGGGCTGGTAGTGTGGGCTGGCCAGCTTAGTGTGGAGAATCAGTCTAAAGCTGGGGTTGTACTCACACTCCTTGTCCCCTATCTTTATGTACCTGAGGAGAGGTAGATGGAGAGAGGAGAGGAGAGGAGTTGGAGGTGTGATGATTGAAGTCATGCTGTACTAGGATAAATCCAAACTTCAAATGTGTCAATGAACTTCTCGCTTCAATTTATGATGACAGTGACAGTTCAAGGTAGGTATGCACATCTCATGGTAGGATTCAGCCTACTGGAACTGGCTGACATGTTTATTTTAAAGCAGATATCAGATTTTATGGAAAATGCTTCGGAAGTCACTTAAAGAGTCATGCACCTGCCCTTCTTGATGGTTTCTCTCCCCAGTAGTGGCCCTAGAACAGGGTCTACAGTGTCCTCTAGGTTCTCAATCAGAACCACATCACCAGCAGACAGAGCGCTCTCTATGGAGTCCAGATACCTGAGAGACACACACACAGAATTCAACACAGACCCGTGAATAGGAGTTTTACTGTCACTTGAAGAGCTTTACTGTGCCTTAATCAGTTTTACCCAATATTTTATGGACTTTTTGTACTGTGCTTGTTGAACCGTCTCCTGCACTATCGGTGATGGGTAATGATGTGGAAATTTCATTGAAGAATATATTTCATCTACATCGTTATAGCAATTCATTAAACCAGGAAGTGATTCTGAGTAAGTCTTTCTCACCCACTCTGCCCAATAGAAGAGGCAATTATGGTATTAAGATTGTTAAGGAGAGCCCATTATATACCCTCTTCAAAAACTCTATCCAGAACAGCTGCCATCTTGTGACTCACCCTCTCTGTCCGATGCGGATGACGCGTAGATCCTCTCCGTATTTGTTTTTGATCCACTTGACGCCCTGTAGCTGGGGGTCCACCATGAGGGGCCAGCGCTGGCAGGAAGTGAGGATGGTGGCGTTCTCCGTGGACATCCTGTCGGCCGGCAGGCCCTCGTTCTGCCACGCCGCGATGTCAGCGTCGTCCATCAGCATGGTCAGAGGGTCCAGGTCGGGGGTTACTGGGATGGGCACCTGGGAGAGAGGGGAGGTGGGATGGGGGACGACGGTTAGTAACTAGCATGGAAGCCACAGGCATCGAAATGACATGGATCACTGGGGGACAACCCTCGTCCTGGAGATTCACTGGGTGTGCAGGCTTTTGGTCCGGCCCTGATTTAATACACCTGGTTCTATTCATCAGCTGCTTATCGGGACCTTCATTAGCTGAATGGTAAACACTTTTACAATGGTGTGAAAACAGAAATGTTGATTTTATGTGTGTGTGTGTGCATATGGCTGTGTGTGTGTGTTCTCCCACCTGTAACTGACTGAGGTATGGTCTCCAGGTGTTGTCCATGAGCTGGTGTCGGTAGCGCTTAGTGAAGTATCCCAGGTAGGAGACAAACGCTGTGATGAGGAGGACGTCACCACACAGAGTCCTCTCCTGACGTCTGAAACTCTCCACCGCCTCCGCCCAACGCACGTTCTCCGACGCCAGACCACCCACCTACAGACCACAACACAATGTGACACGACATGACACATAACCATTGAGTGAGACAGGACAGATCACAATTCAAGAATCCAACATACTGTATGTAGCTTGAATTTTCATGCAAATCTCATATTGATACCAAGGCATGATTAACACAAAAGTAAAAGTTAAGGCTCTATAATTAGCATTCTGCCCTGAGTGACATTGATTACCCACACTGCACCCTGCTAGCTGCAGACTCAATAAAAGTATACCGTCAGTAGCCTGTCTTAATTACATTAACATCAATGAATAGAAGTGTGATAAAGTTATAGAACACAGCTGGTTCAGAAATAATAAGCTTAACTTAGCAATAATGATTACAATGTTGTTTGTAACTTTTAGAAAATGCTGATCACTTTATTCCTTTGTTGGCCTGTCTCTCATCAAGTGGATAATGTATATTATCATCCTCACACTGTCAACACAACACATCTCCTTACTGAAAATGATCAGCAGGAGATGTGTATTCCCCGAGGTAAGTGTGTCTGCGTATGTGTGTGTGTGTGTCTGGCCCACTCACCAGGCGGTTGGCGAGAGAGATGGTGCGAGCGGTGGACTCAGCCTCCTGCTGGCACTTGAGCTTGTCGGCCGTGGCTTTCTCAAACTTGGCTGTCAGCTTGGCCAGGTTCTCATTAAGGTGCTGTCACACAGAGAAGAGAGAGAGAGAGATTGCTTGGTAAATTGACAGAAAAAACTTCAAATTATCTAAACGCTCGTTACCCAATGACAAGCTACTCCGGATGAAACAAAACTTCCACAGTTTTCTGAAAGTTGCCGAAAAGTGATCAATCTCCACAAAGGATTTATTAGGCATACGGAGGCAGTTATTACAAGGACAAAACAATTCATTAGTGGAGACACACAGGTTCATATTAGATTAGACTGAGGTTTGCTAATTCCCCCTGGCTCAGGAGTGACTTTCTACACAAATGCTTTGGCTGACGGCTGAACAAATGACAGGCGGAAAAAATTGGATTTTGAACTTATTAGAGTCTAAACTAGCAACTCTTCAGGGTTGGACGTTGGCAGGCAGCAAGGCGGCTGCTACATGATCTGACTTCATAAAGAGAGGCTGCATGGAGGCTGCTGAGAGGATGAGGGTCTGAATGTAAAATGCACAATAGGCCATTGACTCACAGCTATTATTTACTGCTATTGGGATTGTCATCTTGAGATGTATTTATTGACGCATATAACAGCCTCTAAATAGAACTTAATACATGTATTTTATACTCCTTTAAAGAAACATACTATTTATTATTAGGTAATTAGATTAATTATATTTTGGCCATGTGAATTCTGATACCATGATATAGTGGACTATAAAACCAAACCTAAGCACTGTTTCTAAATCAGATTCAACATGATCAGTGTTAGGTTAACTCACGTTGATCTTGGTCTTGATGACGGTAAGTTTTTCCTGGGCTGCAGCCAGCTCAGCGTTGGCCTTGCTCAGAGCCTGTCTCTTGGGCTCCACCTCACAGAACACCTGGTAGAACTTGACGATGTTTAGGACCCAGGAACAGAGGCCCGCCGCAGCGTTGGATTTAGAGGCCACTAGTTCGGGCTGGAACTCTGGGTCCTGCAGAGTGGGATGGGGTGGAGGGACACGATTAACACATTCAATTAAAATGTGCTGCTTGACATCATGTCCGAGGTTATGCAAGCTGGTAAGTATAACTGGTCTTGCATGTTGAGTTCTTGTGTACTCTCAACAGATTAAACACTCAAAAGAAGGTTTAATAAAGTTTCACAATAATGTGATACTATCGTCACTGAATTATTCTCAAACAAATTCCCTTAAATATATATATTTTTTTATCTGGTTGCCCCTCTACCAGTAGGTAAGGCTGTGTGACTGCACCAGTAGGTAAGGCTGTGTGACTGCACCAGTAGGTAAGGCTGTGTATGACTGTACTCTACCAGTAGGTAAGGCTGTATGACTGTACTCTACCAGTAGGTAAGGCTGTATGACTGTACTCTACCAGTAGGTAAGGCTGTATGACTGTACTCTACCAGTAGGTAAGGCTGTATGACTGTACTCTACCAGTAGGTAAGGCTGTATGACTGTACTCTACCAGTAGGTAAGGCTGTATGACTGTACTCTACCAGTAGGTAAGGCTGTATGACTGTACTCTACCAGTAGGTAAGGCTGTATGACTGTACTCTACCAGTAGGTAAGGCTGTATGACTGTACTCTACCAATAGGTAAGGCTGTATGACTGTACTCTACCAGTAGGTAAGGCTGTATGACTGTACTCTACCAGTAGGTAAGGCTATGTGACTGCACTCTACCAGTAGGCAAGGCTGTGTGACTGCACTCTACCAGTAGGCAAGGCTGTGTGGCTGTACTCTACCTGTAGATAGGGCTGTATGGCCTTGAGGCAGGGCTCTGGGATGTTCTGCTTGTTGAAGTGGACCAGTGAGTCCAGGAAGGCATCTACTTTGGCCATCATCACCTTGGCAGCCTTCCAACTACGGTCCTTAGGAACCCGACCACCCGGGGCCATCAGAACCATGACCGCAGCGGTCACGTTGGTCACAGCCACCACAGGAGAACCAAACGACTTTAGCTCAGTCAGGTTGTTCTGGAGGGAGAGATGGAGGGATGAAAAGGAGAGTGCATTTGCAGGACTTCAGCTTGACCAGGCTATTATGAAAAATGAGAAGGAGGGATAGAGGCAATGACAGAGATGAATGAAAAACTGGAATGCACTTGAAGGACTTCCACTCTGCCAGGTTATTCAGTGCAGAGGAAAAACTGGATTTCATTCAAAGGACTACAGTTACATTTATATGACACTTTAGTTATTCAGCAGATGCTCTTATCCAGAGTGACTTACAGTTTGTGCATTCATCTTAAGATAGGGGAGACAACCACATATCACAGTCATAGTAAATACACTTTTCAATAAAGTAGTTATCAGCAATTAATCAGCAGTTCAGTCAGGGCATTCTAGAAAAAAAAATAGGTTTATAAAAAGAGGAAAAGTGTGCTGACTTGAAGAAGAAGACAACAGGGAATACTAATTGGAGTCTTTAGAGAGGGTAGCCTAGCTGGAGCCTAGCTGGGAAAGAGATGTCAGTTCTGGTTGGGTGAACACAGAACACCTTAAACCACTCAGGTGTTTAGTGAATCCCACAGCTCTCTCATATAAAACCAACAGAGAACGGCTAGAGGGCTAGATTGTAAGAGACTGCTGGACATTGAGCTGTGAAGATTTTAGTACATTTTTAGGAAAATATCATAATTGCATTTCAAATCTGATCTACTGAAAATGAAACCCATAAGGTTGCAAAATGTGAGTGTATTCGTGTGTGTTTTCTAATTTTATTTCACCTTTATTTAACCAGGTAAGCCAGTTGAGAACAAGTTCTCATTTACAACTGCGAACTGGCCAAGATAAAGCAAAGCAGTGCGATAAAAACAACAACACAGAGTTACATATGGGGTAAAACAAAACATAAAGTAAAAAAATACAACAGAAAATATATATACAGTGTGTGCAAATGTAGCAAGTTATGGAGGTAAGGCAATAAATAGGCTATAGTGAAAAATAATTACAATTAGTATTAACACTGGAATGATAGATGTGCAAGAGATTATGTGCAAATAGAGATACTGGGGTGCAAAATAGCAAAATAAATAACAATATAGGGATGAGGTAGTTGGGTGGGCTAATTTCAGATGGGCTGTGTACAGGTGCATTGATCGGTAAGGTGCTCTGACAACTGATGCTTAAAGTTAGTGAGGGAGATAAGAGTCTCCAGCTTCAGAGATTTTTGCAATTCGTTCCAGTCACTGGCAGCAGAGAACTGGAAGGAATGGCGGCCAAAGGAGGTGTTGGCTTTGGGGATGACCAGTGAGATATACCTGTTGGGAGTGCATACTACGGGTGGGTGCTGCTATGGTGACCAATGAGCTAAGATAAGGCGGGGATTTGCCTAGCAGTGATTTATAGATGGCCTGGAGCCAGTGGGTTTGACGACGAACATGTAGTGAGGACCAGCCAACAAGAGCGTACAGGTCACAGTGGTGGGTAGTGTATGGGGCTTTGGAGACAAAACGGATGGTACTGTGATAGACTACATCCAATTTGCTGAGTAGAGTGTTGGAGGCTATTTTGTAAATGACATCGCCGAAGTCAAGGATCGGTAGGATAGTCAGTTTTACGAGGGCATGTTTGGCAGCATGAGTGAAGGAGGCTTTGTTGCAAAATAGGAAGCCGATTCTAGATTTAACTTTGGATTGGAGATTCTTAATGTGAGTCTGGAAGGAGAGTTTACAGTCTAACCAGACACCTAGGTATTTTTAGTTGTCCACATACTCTAGGTCAGACCCGTCGAGAGTAGTGATTCTAGTCGGGTGGGCGGGTGCCATCAGCGTGTTTATGTGTGCATGCATGAGTGTGCACCTTATTGAGAGTGTTGAGGGCCTCCTGTGCTGCTATGAGGGCTGGTTCAGCCTTGGCCAGGTCCTCCTCACAGTCTCTCTGTTTCCCTGTGACCACCACCGCTATGGCTGCCACCTTCTCTTCCTCCTCATCCGCCACAGTCTTCTCCTTCGACATCTGGTCATAGATCATAGAAAAGGATGTAGGAATTATTGTAGTATACAGCAATGCTTCTCACAAAGTCTCAAAGTGATTCACAATAATGCTTTATAAAATTTGGATTGCAATATCCAGATGCTAAAAGCACTTTACAATACATTGTTTAAGGGTTGATAAGGGGAACTCAACCCACCCACCACCACCAATGTTTAACAGTAGCACCCACCTTCTCTGTTTCCACACCGACCACCTGGATCAGCCTATCAGCATCTTCGTTCTTCTGCTTGAGCTCCACCTCCTGGGCGGCCAACTTGGCCTTCAGGTCATCCACCTATCACAGGAGAGAATAGGAGATGGCAGAGGTCATGGCAAAGGTCACAGAGGTCAGGGTTAAGGTTTGGTTGATTCTTCTATCTGTGATTGTGACAGGTGGAGAGCAGAGTTTCACATGCCTTATACAGTGAGGGAAAAGGGTATTTGATCCCCTGCTGATTTTGTACATTTGCCCACTGACAAAGAAATGATCAGTATCATTTTAATGGTAGGTTTATTTGAACAGTGAGAGAAAGACACATGTCAAAAATGTTATAAATTGATTTGCATTTTAATGAGGGAAATAAGTATTTGACCCCCTCTCAATCAGAAAGATTTCTGGCTCCCAGGTGTCTTTTATACAGGTAACGAGCTGAGATTAGGAGCACACTCTTAAAGGGAGTGCTCCTAATCTCAGCTTGTTACCTGTATAAAAGACACCTGTCCACAGAAGCAATCAATCAGATTCCAAACTCTCCACCATGGCCAAGACCAAAGAGCTCTCCAAGGATGTCAGGGACAAGATTGTAGACCTACACAAGGCTGGAATGGGCTACCATCGCCAAACAGCTTGGTGAGAAGGTGACAACAGTTGGTGCGATTATTCGCAAATGGAAGAAACACAAAATAACTGTCAATCTCCCTCGGCCTGGGGCTCCATGCAAGATCTCACCTCGTGGAGTTGCAATGATCATGAGAACGGTGAGGAATCAGCCCAGAACTACACGGGAGGATCTTGTCAATGATCTCAAGGCAGCTGGGACCATAGTCACCAAGAAAACAATTGGTAACACACTACGCCCTGAAGGACTGAAATCCTGCAGCGCCCGCAAGGTCCCCCTGCTCAAGAAAGCACATATACAGGCCCGTCTGAAGTTTGCCAATGAACATCTGAATGATTCAGAGGAGAACTGGGTGAAAGTGTTGTGGTCAGATGACACCAAAATTGAGCTCTTTGGCATCAACTCAACTCACCGTGTTTGGAGGAGGAGGAATGCTGCCTATGACCCCAAGAACACCATCCCCACCGTCAAACATGGAGGTGGAAACATTATGCTTTGGGGGTGTTTTTCTGCTAAGGGGACAGGACAACTTCACCGCATCAAAGGGACGATGGACGGGGCCATGTACCGTCAAATCTTGGGTGAGAACCTTCTTTCCTCAGCCAGGGCATTGAAAATGGGTCTTGGGTGGGTATTCCAGCATGACAATGACCCAAAACACACGGCCAAGGCAACAAAGGAGTGGCTCAAGAAGAAGCACATTAAGGTCCAGGAGTGGCCTAGCCAGTCTCCAGACCTTAATCCCATAGAAAATCTGTGGAGGGAGCTGAAGGTTCGAGTTGCCAAACGTCAGCCTCGAAACCTTAATGACTTGGAGAAGATCTGCAAAGAGGAGTGGGACAAAATCCCTCCTGAGATGTGTGCAAACCTGGTGGCCAACTACAAGAAACGTCTGACCTCTGTGATTGCCAACAAGGGTTTTGCCACCAAGTACTAGGTCATGTTTTGCAGAGGGGTCAAATACTTATTTCCCTCATTAAAATGCAAATCAATTTATAACATTTTTGACATGCGTTTTTCTGGATTTTTTTGTTGTTATTCTGTCTCTCACTGTTCAAATAAACCTACCATTAAAATTATAGACTGATCATGTCTTTGTCAGTGGGCAAACATACAAAATCAGCAGGGGATCAAATACTTTTTCCCCTCACTGTATGATATCTGTGATGACAGGAAGGAAGGCTGTATTGTTGATCATTTTTGGCACACTGCTAACGTATTATTAGCAGAAATCAAAGTGTATATTCCACACACATAATGAATCTGTTATCGACTAATAGAATCTCTGTGTGTTTTTACAAGACCAAACCCTCTGAACAGACATCATTCTATCATTAATATCCTTTTGATCCATTACATCCAAAAAAATCTATGATTTTGTCAAAACAGAGAAATTGACAAAAAGGGGACACAAATGGAGAGATAACATGTATATCTACTGGATAATTGAATAGCCTTAGGCGCTAGAACTGTAATCAGACACACACACAGACACAGACACACACACATGCATGCATGCACAAACACAAACACACACAAATGAAAACCTGAAACACACACTTAGAATTCCCACAGAAAGTCTGCGTGTTTCTACATTACCGTCTGACTTCGTCAAAACGTTGCACAGGGGAAATAAAACAGAGTGATTTTTGTTGTTCTGTGAGCTAATTAACTAAACATGATGTGAGAGAGCTCAGGGTGTTGTGTAGAAGATGTCTCTGTTGGGTCCTGATGCCTGTGAAATCAACCCAAACAGAACCTGACGAGCACCGAGTGAGCTATCAGAGTGATGGGTGGAGGGGGGAGATGGAGGGAATGAAAGATAGATAGAGAGGGATGGAGGGGGAGGAGAGAGAGAGAGAGAAAGAGAGAGAGATGGCGTGAGAGATAACTAATTGCTGTGAGACGTGGCTGTGAGATAAACAGTGAAATCCCTCTACATCTGGACAGCTCTCTATATACATGTAAACACGTACCACTGTGTATAGGGCTATCTACCACCCACACATAATACCCTAGCTTCTAGACAGGGTATATTGTTTGTATCAATTAAAATCCGTATAACTGCCTTCCTCCCTCTATGGAAGATGAAATACTGTCCATGTGGATCTAAACAAACCTAAACCTATTTCCAAGATCTCATTTACAGGAGAGCAGGTATTTTCCCCTACAGCACCATAACCAGTTCAAAGGACTGGGAGTCTGGGACCGATACACTTGAACTCATCAAATCATGTTATCAGAACAGAGAAACGTGGTTGAAAAAGCAGAACAATTTTCCCTTAATCATTAAAGGCCCAGTGCAGTCAACATTCTGTTTTTCCTGTGTTTTATATAATATTGTACAACAGCGGATGAAACTAACCCTGTAAATGTGTGGAAAAATTGGATCAGTGTTATTTCCTGAAAGTTGCTGGTTGAAAATACAATCTACAACTTAATTGTTACCAAGAAATGATTTCATATTTATATAAAAAACGGCTGCATTGGGCCTTTAAATCATTTTTATATATAACCTCCTTTTTTCCCTTTATCTGGCTCCCTGTCAGGGATCTGTGGATGAGGGTAGCTGGGAGGTTAGAACCCTCACATTTACACGACTGGAGATGAGAGTAGCCTCCCACAGCGATTTGTGTCAGAGAGACAAAAGAAGAGGAGGGGTGTGTGTGTGTGTGTGTGTGTGTGTGTGTGTGTGTGTGTGTGTGTAGGTTCATTATAAAGAGTATAAGAGCACTGTTCGCCCACGCAACTCTACACTGACAGAGGCAGGTCTAGGAGCCACACACACACACACACACACACACACACACACACACACACACAGACACACACGTGTATGTGCATGTGCGTGTATAGCGCAAGAACTCAGCTCCCCTGATCCGCTCCCAGATACATCCTGTGGTATCAGCGCATCTCAGCTCCAACCCACTCTCTCTCTCCCCTCATTAAAACACTATTAACACTTATCATCCAAGATGGCTGCCGCAAAAACAGACCAAAATCCAGACCAGAGGAACTGAATACAGCCCACAGGATTCCCTTTAATATGTTCTCTGGGGAGCCAATGAATCATTTTCAGCCTCATCTCCCCGCTTTAACCCCTGCAACCTTGTTTATTGTTGTTTACCAGACAGCCGACCTCTGACTTTCTGTATTGAGTGTTGATGTTACAAAACAAGCACATTTATTGCATGAGGCTTGTCAGAGGGACGTGAACACATATAGAGAGAGCATTAATGATGCATGTTGTACAAGGGGTCAGGGGGTTGAACTGTAATGAACAGTCAACACAATTACAGGGTAAGTATGTACTGTAATGTATATGAGACCTGCCGGGTATTCCTATAGGGGGTTGGTGACACGTTGTGATGCATTAACGCTATTAACGTCGGAAGGTGTGTGTGTGTGTGTGTGTGTGTGTTAACCAACACCATAATTAGACTGTCCCGCTGTTGTGTGGACTCACTGATGTGTTCATGTCCCTTAAAGTGTTGAATCAGCGAACATACGCTGAGTGTACAAAACATTAGGAACACCATCCTAATATTGAGTTGCACCCCCATTTGCCCTCAGAAAAGCCTACATTTGTCGATACATGCTCTACACGGTGTCAAAAGCGTTTCACAGGGATGCTGACCTATGTTGACTCCAATGCTTCCCACAGTTGTCAAGTTGGCTGGATGTCCTTTGGGTGGTGAACCATTCTTGATACACACGGGAAACTGTTGAGCGTGAAAAACCCAGCAGTGTTGCGGTTCTTGACACTCAAACCGGTGCGCCTGGCATCTACTACCATACCCCGTTCAAAGGCACTTAAATATTTTGTCTTGCCCATTCACCCTCTGAATGGCACATATGCACAATCCATGTCTCAATTGTCTCAAGGCTTAAATCCTTCTTTAACCTGCCTCCTCCCCTTAAACTATACTGATTGAAGTGGATTTAACATTTACATTTTTACATTTTAGTCATTTAGCAGACTCTCTTATCCAGAGCGATTTACAGGAGCAATTAGGGTAAAGTGCCTTGCTCAAGGGCACATCGACAGATTTTTCACCTAGTCGGCTTGGGGATTAGAACCAGCAACCTTTCGGTTACTGGCACAACCATTTTAACCACTAAGCTACCTGCCGCCCCGTGACATCAATAAGGGATCATAGCTTTCACCTGGATTCACCTGGTCAGTCTATGTCATGGAAAGAGCAGGTGTTCCTAATGTTTTGTACACTCAGTGTACAGTACAGTACATGAAAAACATGAACGCATAAAGGTACTTATTCAGGCATCAGCATCAGCTTGGTAAGGGCGTGTATGGAGGAGCACAGGCTGAGGTACTGCTGGGTTTCAGGTGCGTTAAAGGAAACAGGTGACTACAGAGGAGGTAAGGTAAGAGAATATATGGAGTATATCTTTACCTGAGCGGAGGAGCTGTTGAGTTTCTACAGGCCATTCTTCAGCCTCTCCATCTTGGTGGTTAAGGTAAGGAAGAGGCGAGTACAGTAGGTTAAGGTAGAATAAAGTAAGGTAAGGTCTGACCTGAGCGGAGGTGCTGTTGAGCTTTTGCAGGCCGTTCTCCAGGCGTTCCATCTTCATGGTGAGATCTCTGCTCTTATTGGCCAGCAGGCTTTGGTACAGCTTAATCTGCTCCAGGAAGGACTTGGGCGTGGTGTAGTTATAGCGCCTCTCATTGGACAGGTACTCCTTGGAGGTGTGGTTAACACTGACGTGAACATAGGCCATGAACTTACTCACTGATTCCTTCAGCTCCGGCTGGGAGGACAACAGAGGTAGAGTGTTAGAGGTTTTATTGTGGATGATGATTACGAAAGAGAGAGAGAGAGAGAGAGAGAGAGAGAGAAGTGAGAGAGAAAGAGAGATCTCACCTCGATGTTGTCGACCTCCTGTAGGAACTTGAGGCTGACAGACTCCAGCGCCTCCTGTGGCCACTCATGGAACCAGTCGATGGCTGTACAGTTAACCACAGCTGGAAACTTCCTGCTACGCACCCGCAACTTACTGCCCACTGGAGAAAAGCACAGGGCCACCTACACACACAGAGAAATGCATACACACACACACACAGGGATGCACACACCGTCAGCCCACTGCCCCCAGGGGAGAAACACACAGCCACCTATCTAGCACAGGGATGAGGAATTCAGCTGTATGTGTTTATGTGCGTGCCTTTGTGTGTGTGTGTATGTATGTGTGTGATCCAGCCTCTCTAAGCACCGACCCATGGGACTCTACTACCCTCATTTATTCTGCTCCAAACCCCAGGAAGCTCAGCCAGCATCATCATAATAATAATACTGCTAACCCCTGGCCTGACGCCTTCCCTGAGAGAACAGGGTATAGTGGTGGCACGATCTCATCAGTACTGTAGTCACACATAGAGAAATGCTGGCCTACAGTTCATACCCAAACTACAGCAAGATAATAAGACTAGACCTTGCTAAAATGTTATCTGAAAAATCTAATGAACCTCTGAATAATATCATCTCTATAGTCTGATACAGAAGGTGGTAACAACCCAGAAGGCAAAGCCAGAAGTTCTAGACCAGTTTCATTTTAATTATTGATACAAGTCAGAGGTGGGTTGTTGTTTATATACTGTGGGTACAACATTTCTCAACTTCTTATACTGAGAGAGATATGAAATTCAAAGAAACGCTCCATGTGCCTGAGCAACACAGTTTGTCACCTTGAGCTGTCTGCGGACTCGATCGATGAAGAACTTCCAGCAGTTTTCCCGGGTGTCCATCATTCCAAGTCCTCGCACCTCATTCCTGACGCTCCCGATGATGTTCTCCACCTCGTCATCTGGGAACAGGTCCGGAATCTCACCTGGGATAGAACATATAACATTCACATCACACAGAGACAATGGTGGGTAATGCACAGTCCTGGGGAGCCACTGTGTATACAGGTTTTTGTTCCAGACCATCACTAACATGTTGCAATTTGACTACATAGATTTCCAAGTGCAAGTGCCATAGATGCTACCTGTACACCCCACCTATAGGGTAACATATTGGAACACTCACATGTTGTTGAAATATCTAAACCAATTGGGATCTCATCGATGATGGAACATTCAGGTCTAAACCAATAAGGAGCTCAACCACAATAGAACGTTCAGATCTAAACCAATAGGGAGCTCACCTACAATAGAACATTCAGATGAGGTTAAAGCTGCGATATTACAACAACAAAGAAGTTACTTCAAACAACAAAAACTGTTTTTCCCCCCATGTATCATTGCACATCACTGCATGCAGGATAGAACAGCAGAATATGTACTGCACATTTATTTTTACCATGCTGGGATGCTCCCCTCCTACGTTTTATCAACAAAACAATAACATAATGTGCTGGGGCGAACAGTGGCACTGTTTCCTCTCTGCAGATTTCAGCTTTAAGGGGTGTAAACGGGAGGTACTGACAGGCCAGGGTCCTAGCGACTTGATGACTCATACTACTGTTTTTCACTACGGTGAAGCTCTGAGCATTACTATTATAGTACTGCAACTCAGACTTACAGAGAGAAAGACAGAGAGGAGAGAAAATGTTTCTTTAGGTTTTTACTTCCATGTAACCTCCTCATCCATCTGAATAATGGAATAGAATTGTAGTTTAGAACTGACGAATATCTATGCGGAGGTGGACATTTGCGTTTGGCATCACCTCCAACGGTGATGCAATAGCAATGTTTTAGCAGACTCACACAAAGCCATGGTAACTGGCTGTTCTTCTTTGTGAAAGAGAGAATTATCCTCTCATTCATCTACATAGGCAGCTATTGGCAAAGCCCAGATACAGTATCCTGGAGCTAGACCGAACACGCTCTTTATATATGCCTCTGGCTTCCCCTGCCTTACCTAATGCCAACAGAGTGACACATAGCCTTCTTTCCCAATGTCCCAGCCAACCTCAATGCCAACCCCCCTCCCCAATGTCCTGGTCCCAATCGTACCCGATGCCAAAAGATCGTTGACCAGAACGAGGAACTTCTCATCTGCCACCTGGGCATCAGTCATTAGCAGCACTGTGCCAACATTCTTCACGCCAGCTTTGATGTAGAGGGATGCCAGGTCAGTCTGATAGAGGGAAGGGGGAAGGGAGAGAGAGAGAGAGAGGTGTGGAGGGAGGGACGGTGGAGGGGAGAGGGGAGGGAGAGAGCATTTAGCTGGTCAGGTCCTAGACATAAGTTCCCAGTAGAACAGAATAGGGAACATTTGTAGTTTAAGTCATGCAATATGAATATGCAATGGTATTGGTCAGTGCATGCAGGTGCGTGCGGGTGTGTGTGCGTGCGTGCATGAGTGCGTGCGTGAGTGCGTGCGTGTACCTTGAGGTCAGGGATGCCGTAGCCTTTCCTGAGGGTGATTTGGAACACTTCCAGGTTGGAGATGAAGGCAGCCAATCGGGTGAGGCTCTGCTTGCCGCTGCCGCCCACGCCGACCAATAGAGCGTTACCACGCGGAGACTCCAGGATACGGTTGATACGGCAACTACAGGAGGGGGGAGAGAGAGAGGGCGGGGAATAAAGAGCGAGAGGGGAAAGAGAGTGGGTTTTAAGAGGCAAACACCATTATTTACTGTTGATACTTCATTAAAATATTGAGTAATATAGCAAAAGAGGGACTTATAATGGACCTATAATAAGTGCATTAAAAAGCCAAACAGAAGTTTCTCCTTCTTACATGTGAGCCATAGCGTCTTCAAACAGAACCAGATTGAGGACAGCGTTGACTTCGTTATAGCTGTCCAGCACCTCCAGCAGCGTCTTGTTGAGGGAGCTCCAGGACTGGACAGCCATGTACTGGGGCTCCCCCACCCCTGAGGCGAAGTGACAGTACATGTTCATCTCCCTGGCCTGCTCCAGGGTCTCCTCCATATCCTGAGGGGAGACACACTCAGTATGCATCCCAAATGGCACCCTATTCCCTAATTAGTGCACTACTTTTGACCAGGGCCTGGGCTCTGGTTCAAAAGTAGTACACTATATCAGCAATAGGGTGCCATTTAGGACAGAGCCTCTGTTAGCTACAGTGGAACATTTAAATGGAATCACTCTGGACAGGGAGGAACTCAGCATTCAGCAAACAAAACATTTTCTGGAGTAGCCTACTGTGTGTTCACTTTTACTAGTTATGTTTAACATTTCAATTATTTATGATAGCGGGATGTTTTCCAAATGTAGGCCTCTGTTTGAGGAAATGTACATTTTCTACAGCGTATTCCCTAAGACTGCAGTTCACCTGAGGGGAACTGTGATAACTTTATCCTTCCCTCCTGTCTCTTTCTCAATACAGAACACCTGAAAACGACAAGTAGACATGCCGGAACGTGTGCTTTATATTTGGTGGTGGTGTGTGTGTGTGTGTGTGTGTGTGTGTGTGTGTGTGTGTTCCCTCGCTGCAAAAAAGTGTGTGTGTGATCAACTTGAGGGTGTGTGTGTCTGCGTGTGTTCCCCTGTGTGTGTAGGTGTCAGTTCCCTGGTTGTAAGCATGAACAGTGTGTTTGTGATAAACTCAGGAGGGTAGGGAGTCAGGGCATAGCGGTCAGAAAACCATTAAAATGTTTTCCAATTTGCTGGGCTGGTGGCCCAGGCCCTGACAGTCAGACCCTTCTACTGATTAGTATTCTCTCCATTCCTCTCCTCTTCCCTCTCCTCGCTGCGCTGGTCACTGATGTTCGGCCTCCGACTCTGAGCAGGCTGTCTAATGATTTTCCCCCTCCACCTCTTGCTCCGTTTTCCTCTGCTGAACTTTGTAAAACTCTCTACTCAACAGTGTGTGTGTGTGTGTGAGTCAGAGTGTGTTTGCATGCTTCTGTGTGAAGTGTGTGTGTGAAATGTATGTGCCCGTGCTGGTGTCGGTGTGTGTACGTCCATGTGTGTGCCTGTGCGTGTTTGTAGGGGTGTACGTCCACGTGCTTGCCTGCGTGTGTTTCTCCATTTCTTTGGGTGTAACTTTGAAAACTCTCCCCTCACCTCATATAACTTTTTCACAGCGTCTGCCTGCAGCTTATCAAAGGCCTGCGTGTCTCTGTCCTCCACCATCTTGTCTCTGTAGACGCGGTTGGACTCGTGGAGGTAGATCTTCACCAGATCCACAGGAACCCTCAGACACTTACTCGTACAGAACAGAATACCCTGGACAGGACAGGAGAGGAAAGGTTCATTGGGAGGCAGATAAAGTCACTTATACCTTAAAAAGTATCAGATTATGTAAGGTAAACGTGGGTAAGTCGATCGCTGTTGGGTCTAAATGCTGGTAGAAAGGGAGTGAGAGAAAGTGAGACCAGGGATTTATGTAAGTAAAAAAATTATTAAATGGGACTTCTTGGTTTGATTTCAAGTATATATTCTGTCTGTTAAGAGACAAATGTTTCATAAAAGTAAGACTATTTATCATACTTTTCTCTTCACAAGCTAAACCCTGGCATCTACTACACACTCCCAAATGAACTGAATCACATAAACTTCAGATCAATCAAATAATACCTTCCAACAGATGTTGTCTAACTAATCTAAGATGACATTTTCAACATGTCCCTGACTGAGTCTGTAATACCAACATGTTTCAAGCAGACCACCATAGTCCCCGTGCCCAAGGACTCTAAGATAACCTGCCTAAATGACTACCGACCCGTAGCACTGACGTCTGTAGCCATGAAGTGCTTTGAAAGGCTGGTCATGGCTCACATCAACAGCATTATCCCAGAAACCCTAGACCCACTCCAATTTGCATACCGCCCCAACAGATCCACAGATGATGCAATCTCTATTGCACTCCACACTGCCCTTTCCCACCTGGACAAGAGGAACACCTACGTGAGAATGCTATTCATTGACTACAGCTCAGCATTCAACACCATAGTTCCCTCTAAGCTCATCACTAAGCTAAGGATCCTGGGACTAAACACCTCCCTCTGCAACTGGATCCTGGACTTCCTGACGGGCCGCCCACAGGTGGTAAGGGTAGGTAACAACACATCTGCCACACTGATCCTCAACACGGGGGCCCCTCAGGGGTGCGTGCTCAGTCCCCTCCTGTACTCTCTGTTCACCCATGACTGCATGGCCAGGCACGACTCCAACACCATCATTAAGTTTGCCGACGACAACGATCACCGACAACGATGAGACAGCCTATAGGGAGGAGGTCAGAGACCTGGCCGTGTGGTGCCAGGACAACAACCTCTCCCTCAACGTGACCAAGACAAAGGAGATGATTGTGGACTACAGGAAAAAAAAGAGGACTGAGCACGCCCACATTCTCATCGACGGGGCTGTAGTGGAACAGGTTGAGAGCTTCAAGTTCCTTGGTGTCCACATCACCAACGAACTATCATGGTCCAAACACACCAAGACAGTCGTGAAGAGGGCACGACAAAGCCTATTTCCCCTCAGGAGACTGAAAAGATTTGGCATGGGTCCTCAGATCCTCAAAAAATTCTACAGCTGCACCATCGAGAGCATCCTGACTGGTTGCATCACCGCCTGGTATGGCAACTGCTTGGCCTCCGACCGCAAGGCACTACAGAGGGTAGTGCGTACGGCCCAGTACATCACTGGGGCCAAGCTTCCTGCCATCCAGGACCTCTATACCAGGCGGTGTCAGAGGAAGGCCCTCAAAATTGTCAAAGACTCCAGCCACCCTAGTCATAGACTGTTCTCTCTGCTACCGCACGGCAAGCGGTACCAGAGTGCCAAGTCTAGGTCCAAAAGACTTCTCAACAGCTTCTACCCCCAAGCCATAAGACTCCTGAACAGCTAATCATGGCTACCCGGACTATTTGCACTGCCCCCCCACCCCATCCTTTTTACGCTGCTGCTACTCTGTTAATTATTTATGCATAGTCACTTTAACTCTACCCACATGTACATATTACTTCAACTACCTCAACTAGCCGGTGCCCCCGCACATTGACTCTGCACCGGTACCCCCCTGTATATATAGCCTCCCTACTGTTATTTTATTTTACTTCTGCTCTTTTTTTTCTCAACACTTTTTTTGTTGTTTTATTTTTACTTTTTTTGTTAAAAATAAATGCACTGTTGGTTAAGGGCTGTAAGTAAGCATTTCACTGTAATGTCTGCACCTGTTGTATTCGGCGCATGTGACCAATACAATTTGATTTGATTTGATTTGATATGCTTTGCTCTGGACGAGCGAAACACTAACATTGTCCCACAGGGGAAGATAACTCAGCCAAGTCATCCATGTCTCAGTGTAATCCCATCTCCTCTCCCAGCAGCTGCCCTACCATGAGGAATAGGCCCAGTGAAGCCCCAGCACTGTTTGTCCCTTTCTGCGCCCCGTCACCGCGGGAGGAAATACACAGACTAACAGATGCTGTGTCTTCCAGGCAGAAGGACGTATGCAAATCAACGTCGTCGTCGTCGTCGTCATCATCATCACCTCGCGTGTTACAGCCAACTGAATCCGATCTGATGATGATGACTGTCGTAATGGGGTGGGTTGGAGGTGTGCATGTAATAACTTCCTCTCCTTTTTCTCAGTCATCCCCCCCACCCTTCCCCCTCTATCAATCAATCATATTTTATTTATAAAGCCCTTTTTACATCAGCAGATGTCACAAAGTGCTATACAGAAACCCAGCCTAAAACCCCAAACAGCAAGCAATGCAGATGTAGAAGCACAGTGGCTAGGAAAAACTCCCTAGAAAGGCAGAAACCTAGGAAGAAACCTAGAGAGGAACCAGGCTCTGAGGGGTGGCCAGTCCCCTTTTGGCTGTGCCAGGTGGAGATTATAACAGTACATGGCCATTAAGGCCAGATTTTTCTCCAAGATGTTCAAACGTTCATAGATGACCAGCAGGGTCAAATAATAATCACAGTGGTTGTAGAGGTTGCAACAGGTCAGTACATCAGGAGTAAATGTCACTTGGCTTTTCATAGCCAGGCATTTAGAAGTTGAAATAGCAGGAGCGGTAGAGAGAAAGAGTTGAAAACAGCAGGTCTGGGACAAGGTAGCACGTCCGGTGAACAGGTCAGGGTTCCATAGCCACAGGCAGAAGAGTTGAAACTGGAGCAGCAGCACGACCAGGTGGACTGGGGACAGCAAGGAGTCATCAGGCCAGGTGGTCCTGAGGCATGGTCCTAGGGCTCAGGTCCTCCGGGAGGGGAGGGAGAGAGAGAGAGAGAGAATTAGAGGGAGCATACTTAAGTTCACACAGGACACCGGATAAGACAGGAGAATAACACCAGATATAACAGACTGACCCTAGCCCCCCGCCACATAGACTATTGCAGCATAGATACTGGAGGCTGAGACGGAGGGGGGGGGGGGGGGGGGGGGGTCAGAGCTCTTCACAGAAGAGAAGGATGGGTATATGAGTCAGAGCTTTCAGACAGTTCTCTCTGTTACGCACGGCAAGAGGTACCGATGCACCAAGTCTAGGACCAAAAGGACCCTGAACAGCTTGTACCCCCAAGCCATAAGACTGCTAAATAGTTAATTAAATAGTTAACCAATAGCTACCCAAACTATCTGCATTGACCCTTTTTGCACTAACTCTTTTGACTCATCACATACGCTGCTGTTACTGTTTATTATCTATCCTGTTGCCTAGTCACTTTTTTCCTACCTATATGTACATGTCTACCTCAATGACCTTGTACCACTGCACATTGACTCGGTACTGGTACCCCGTGTATATAGCCAAGTTATCGTTACTCATTCTGTATATATTCCTTGTGTTATAACTTTTCTACACCTGCTAGTCTACACCTGTTGTTTACAAAGCATGTGACAAATACAATTTGATTTGATTTGGTCTGAGGCTTGTTTCCACTCCTCTCTGCCAACCAGTCGCTCTGAGTTCCAAACAATGCCTCTCGTCCACCCTGGCTAACTAATCCAGCTAGGTCCAGCTGACTGGGCTTTCTACGTTAGACAGACAGTAGATGGAGTTCTCGCTCCTAACCATGCTGACATAACTTTCTCTCATCTCTCCTGCTCTCTTCCTTCCTTTTCTCCTTCCCTTCTCCCCCGCTCCCACCCATCGCTCTTCTTCTCCCCTGTTCTCTCGTTCCCTCATTCCCCCTCTCCTTCTGTTCTACCAGAGCTCATTTAGGGTGACGTTCGCCAGACAGATCCCTGTTATGCCCGCTGGCCACGTACAGCAGAAAAACTAACGATAGACAGCGTTCCTAACGGTCTGGTGCTGGGGAATGCAGCTCTCTGACAACACATCCCTATAGGAACATAGTGTGTTTTTCTTGTCCTATTAGCAGGGATTTTGCTACTGGCATCTAGTTAACTATCAAACATCAACATGTCCCCATAGGATGATGGTGTTTTTCTGTCGTCATACTAAACTGGATCTGGCTTTGAGTTGTTGTCAGTGAAGTAACAATGAAAACTTGACAAACACCACAAAAGTGTTTATTGATAGCCTTGTGGTTGTATTTCAATCAATAAGAGACAGAGAGAAACCAAAGAGTGACAGAAAGAGCTCTAGAGGAATACCGGAGAAAATAACTGATCATTTCTTGTGACATCAATACATCCCTGTGACAACTACCTTGAGGAATGTATTAGGATTTCCGGTGAAGAGAAGAAATGCTTAGATACTACCTTGAATGTTGTCTGAACAGTTCTCTTGGAAATGCTGTAACAAAGTGTTTTCCCCTGTTAGGTTCCTCAGCTTGGTTTTCCTCATTAGCGCTGATGATAATGAGGCAGTAGTCGCCTTGGGCTGAGTGTACCGGTGTTCCAGCGTTTACAAAGAAACTAAACTAACTGCTGCTTCATTAAAAGTCGCCCAATTACTTTTCCTGAGGTAAACCTCTTCAGAAATAATCCACATTTCGCTAACTGTAATGAACAGAAGAGGACAGCAAAATTGCAATAGAATAAATATTACGCCAATACAATAGGACCTGCGTGGCTTTTGCGCTAAAATACTTACTAGTCCTCACTTCGTCTGACTAGCAATTTCGAACAACTAGTTTGGGGCACACACTTAATGTCTGAAGATACTAAGACGATTCGTAAACTTTTCAGGACCTTTATTTATCAATTAAATAACTTTCCCTTCTTAAAAACAGCGATGACAAGGTGGAATGTGGACTAGAGTGTGTGAGCAGGCTGTGTGTCTCTTCAACCCTGTGTAGCTAGCTATCCTCAGGCCCTGGAGCTAGCTAGCAGCTGAATAGTCAAGACATACGGAGAGAAAAGTTCAAAAGAGAACTCTGGGTAGTGTCTGAGAAGTCTGAGCCACATCTCACTTTCTCCTTATTACCCAGCTGAAAAACAACAAGGAGGATTGATCCTGCACTATTTTTTTCAGCTTTCTCCCTCTCTCTTTACCCGCTTGACACCAGTGACACTACACAGACTCTTTAGAACGCAGGTTTCACCAAAACACACAGCACTGAGACTCTTCAAAGTTCAAAAGCTAAGTTCAATGAGTTCTACCCCCATCAGGCCCCTGCTATTGAAATCAATGCTGTACTGTCGTCAACGTTGATTAAAGGTCTAAAAGGTAACATAAAGGGGTCAGCAGGGCTGGAGTCCATGGTGTGTAATTATAGATAATAAACTCTCTAGTGTTAAATCTATGGTCCCTCATCGTTAAAGGTGAAGTTAGAATAATTCTAATAGCTAAACCTCAACTCATTATAATTGCTAAACCTAAACTCTTAGATTTAAGGCTAATAATGATGAATAACTGAGAACCTGTTCTTTTGAAGTATGACTTACTGTACATTCCGACGTTCTGTATGCACATTTTATAAGAGGATAAGAATGTGACTTGAAACAGTTCCAAGGCTTGGAGGTCTCAGGGAAGGAATTATGAAAACTAAAGTACTATGGTTGAATGGCTTAGAGTATTAATTATGTATTGGTGCTTGTATTAAATGAGTCTTTGCCCCCCTGGAACCGCTGAGGATCCTGACAGAAAAATATTGCGTATAAGCTTCTCTCTCATGACAGCTTTAGAGGTTACAGTATAATATAATATTCATTTAAACACATTAAATCGTTACAAACACCCCTGAGAGCAAATCCATTCTTCTCTCTTTTTCTGCAAATTTCTACCTTATTTCTCAACATTAGGCACACCTTACTAAATCAATAATCATTTAGATGAGAAATTAGTTACAGTATTTTAACTTTTACTGCCTGGGGTGCAATAAAACTCTACCAATCCAAACTTTGATACAGTATATAAAAAAAGTAAAAGAGATGGGTTTTGAGTGCACATGCCAAAACTTTTAACTGGTCCTGTTTTAATGGAACGATCCATGAATGAAGGAGAAAATGCCCTAGGTCTTAGTTTTGAGTGTACAGTACCCAGCTTCAGTAACTGAAAATGTGCATCACTGTAAAAAAAATAAATCACCAGGTATAGTAAATTGTAAATGTGTGTGTGTGTGTGTGTGTGTGTGTGTGTGTGTGTGTGTGTGTGCGCACCGGTCAATCCATCCATTCATTTGCATTCATCACCTGGAATATGTTGGAGAGGTCTCGGAGGTTAAAGATGTAGTGGAACTTGACAGCGGTGGGCAGGAAGGTGGAGGTGAGTCTCTGGTGGAGGGCCAGAGCTAGCTGGACCAGGGTAGGACAGCTCTTCTGCAGAGCAGCACTGAAGCCCTCTCCCCTGAGGTGCTGAGAGAGGATGGAACTGTAGATGGTGCTAAGAGCCTCCGCTCCAGGGAAGGACAGGGCAAACACTGAGAAGTGACGCTACAGAGAGAATGAGAAAAATTAAAATGATGTGTATAGGTGTTTATAATTATGCTAATGAAATGTTGCAAGAGACAATGGGACATCATCAGATATGCATGCAGTGTGTGAGTGCATGTGTGTCTGTCTGTGCTTGTTTGTAAGCGTGTGTGTGTGTACCTGTAGTCGTGGGTTAATGGTGAAGCTGCCTGCCGTAGGGTTCATGCAGGACACGTACTGCACACTGTGGACCTCTTTCAGCAGCAGCTTACTCCTGTCATACCTGGACACACATACACAGTCTTGTTTAACTAACCTTGTGGGGACACACAATTTAAAACCATTCAAAATCCCAGGCTGTGTCACAGCCGGCCGTGGCCGGGAGACCCATGAGGCGGCACACAATTGGCCCAGCATCGTCTGGGTTAGGGGAGGGTTTGGCCGGCCGGGATTTCCTTGTCCCATCGCGCGCAAGCGACTCCTTGTGGAGGGCTGGGCGCCTGCAAGCTGACTTTGGTCGCCAGCTGGACGCTGTTTCCTCCGACACATTGGTGCGGCTGGCTTCCGGGTTAAGCGAGCAGTGTGTCAAGAAGCAGTGCGGCTTGGCAGGGTCGTGTTTCGGAGGATGCATGGCGCTCGACCTTCACCTCTCCCGAATCCGTAGGGGAGTTGCAGCGATGGGACAAGACTGTAACTACCAATTGGACATCATGAAATTGGGGAGAATTATAAAAAAAAAAAAAAGAAGCCAGATGTGGAGGTCCTGGGCTGGAGTGGTTACACGTGGTCTGCGGTTGTGAGGCCGGTTGGACGTACCGCCAAAACGATGTTGGAGGCAGCTTACAGTAGAGAAATTAATATTACATTTTCTGGCAACAGCTCTGGTGGACATTATTGCAGTCAGCATGCCAATTGCACACTCCCTTAAAACTTGAGACATCTGTGGCATTGTGTTGTGTGACAAAACTGCACATTTTAGAGAGGCCTTTTATTGTCCACCTGTGTAATGATTATGCTGTTTAATCAGCTTCCTGATATGTCACACCTGTCAGGTGGATGGATTATCTTGGCAAAGGAGAAATGCTCACTAACAGGGATGTAAACACATTTGTGCACAATAAGCTTTTTATGCGTATGAAACATTTCTGGGATCTTTTATTTCAGCTCATGAAACATGGGACCAACACTTTACATGTTGCATTTATATTTATTGTTCAATATAGCAATTGACCTTGTGGGGACTAACAAAATGTCCCCAGTTGGTCAATGTTTCGTTTGTTTACTATTCTTGTGGGGACTTCTGGTCCCCACAAGTATAGTTAAACACGTCCACAGGCACACACATACTGCAATGAAATACACAAACACACTCTCCACGTGCTCCTGTCAATATGCACGCCTCAGCTCTCCCTTAAGCCAACATAGCCTAGTAACATTCATCTCCCTCTCAATTTCATACCTGAGATACCCTCCATAACTCTACTGGCTGACCGTGTGTAAAACACACACACATACAAACCCTGTGGCTGTGTCTACAATACCCTTACTATGCCTGATGCCCCAGCTCCACAATCCTTTTAAGGAAAATCACATGCCCAAGCTCTCACATTGGATATCATTTAAGTTGCAGCATATTTTAGTAACAGTAATTGCAGTGAGTGTCCCTTTGAATAGTAAACTGAAGACATGCTCAGCTGTAGTAATCTGAATAACAGAACAATTATTGGTCTAACTCACTGCAGTAGGTTTGCAATAGCAGGGTTAGCCAGCCAGTACCCTCTTTAAACGAACTGTGGTACAGTAACTTCGAACAAATCTTTACTGTAATTGTCCAAAATGTATGGGGTTCTTAAATTAACATTGTTATTTTCCATAAAATATCACTGTCAAGTTCCATCAGTGATAACAATACATTCTAGTACTGTATATAGGACAGAAAGTATTCATCTACTTCCAGTGGTCACCAACCGGTCGATCGGCATCAACTGGTCGATCTCCAAAGCATTCCTAGTTGATCACCAAACATTTATGTAACAACGATAAAGCCTAGCGTTCCTATTTTTTTATTCGTTTCGTGCTGTTGGCGGTAGATGTACTTGATTCAGCAGCCCTAGCGCCAGGAAGGCAAAGTTTCCTGAAGGTAGAACTCCACCTGTGTCTGAAGGTAGAACTCCACCTCCCGGCAGGCCCAGAGAGCAAATCAAGTGCACCTTTAGGCCTACTGCTGGCCAATCAGATAGCTTAGATCACAGAGTCTGCATTTTCCTCGAGCCATAGACTGTAAAAAGAAGCCTCGAGCACACAGCAAAGCTGAAACTGAGATTTCAAAACTTTTAAAACCATGACTAGAGAGACTCAACGAATACAGCAAAGAGCTGCTGTTTTTATAAGTTCATGTTTAAGTTGTTATTCAGCACTGTCAAAACTTTGTTCAAAACTTTTATAAGCCATAAAATGCGCGTTCTCCCCACTCACACTACAACCAGCACTGCAGCTGCAATGAATGAGTATAGCAAAGTGTTTCGATAAGCTTGCGTTGTTATTATTAGCGGCTTGTCTATTTTTGTATATTGAGTAATATTTCACTTTATCTGGACATCGGATTAACAACATGAATTGGTGCTTGAGGCAGAAATAATGCACTGCAACTTGAGTTTCGCCATCAGCTTGAAGACTGTCCCCTTTTCTCAGCAGAGGGAGGGAGAGAGGGACGGTGAGTCGGGTGAGAGGGAGCCTCACCCCCCCCCTCAGACTGACCATCAGATGCAGGCCATCAGTCCAGTAAAATTTAAAAAAGCAAATTATTATGCTCTCTCAGCTGTGCCTCACAAGTAATACAACAAATGATCTATTACCAGTGTGATCATATACCTACAATTTTGAAATATAATTTCAAAATGGTCTGAGAAGAACAACATTGCAGGGCAATTCAAGCGTAGACAATATGCAGTGATAATGTATTGGGCCTATAGCCTACTACAAACCTCATTGCTACAGAACTGTTTTTAATAAGTTAACGTTGCATAGGTTTAAAGAAAATCATGTTTTTAACAAATCTGAGCGGTAGATCTTGGCTTGCATTTTGACTCAGAAAGTGATCTTGACTCAGAAAGTGATCTTGACTCAGAAAGTGATCTTGACACAGAAAGTGATCTTGACTCAGAAAGTGATCTTGACTCAGAAAAGGTTGGTGACCACTGATCTACTGTATGTCAGTATATTACCCATGATGACTTGAGGTTCCATTCAATCAAAAGCACTTAGACTGTCTGTGCAAAGGTAGAGACGAAGGGGGCTCACATGTGACATGTGTTCGCGGTGGTCTATATACTGGCATATGCGTGTGTGTATGTGTGTGTGGGCACGTGCGTGCATGCATGCTTATGTGCAAGAGTGTGTGCGTTCACGTCCTATCACCAGTGGTTGTAGTCCAAGTGTTGGCGTATGACTGTGTGTGACAGCAGAGTATGTGTGTGTGTGCACGTCTGTGCGTCCTCTCACCAGTGGTTGTAGTCCAGGTGTTGGCGTATGAGTGTGTGTGGCTGCACGGTGCCGTAAGCGTCCACCTCTGGCATGTTCATATCGTCTATGAAGTAGACCAGCCTCCTGCTGCCTGGAGGACCATAGTTACGGCCTGCCTTCTTCTCCAGGGGCTTCTCCAACACCGCTGCACAGGAGGGAGGGAAGGAGGAGAGGATGAGGGTGGAAAGAGAGAGGGATGGGAGTGTATAAAGAGATGGATGGAGGATGAGCGCAGAAAGAGATGGATGGAGGATGAGTGTAGAAAGAGATGGATGGAGGATGAGTGTAGAAAGAGATGGATGAAGGATGAGTGCAGAAAGAGATGGATGGAGGATGAGTGTAGAAAGAGATGGATGGAGGATGAGCGTAGAAAGAGATGGATGGAGGATGAGTGTAGAAAGAGATGGATGGAGGATGAGTGTAGAAAGAGATGGATGGAGGATGAGTGTAGAAAGAGATGGATGGAGGATGAGTGTAGAAAGAGATGGATAGAGGATGAGTGTAGAAAGAGATGGATGGAGGATGAGTGTAGAAGAGATGGATGGAGGATGAGTGTAGAAAGAGATGGATGGAGGATGAGTGTAGAAAGAGATGGATGGAGGATGAGTGTAGAAAGAGATGGATGAAGGATGAGTGCAGAAAGAGATGGATGGAGGATGAGTGCAGAAAGAGATGGATGGAGGATGAGCGTAGAAAGAGATGGATGGAGGATGAGTGTAGAAGAGTGGATGGAGGTGAGTGTAGAAAGGATGGATGGAGGTGAGTGTAGAAAGAGTGGATGGAGGATGAGTGTAGAAAGAGATGGATGAGGATGAGTGTAGAAGAGATGGTGGAGGATGAGTGTAGAAGAGATGGTGGAGGATGAGTGTAGAAGAGATGGATGGAGGATGAGCGTAGAAAGAGATGGATGGAGGATGAGCGTAGAAAGAGATGGATGGAGGATGAGCGTAGAAAGAGATGGATGGAGGATGAGTGTAGAAAGAGATGGATGGAGGATGAGCGTAGAAAGAGATGGATGGAGGATGAGTGTAGAAAGAGATGGATGGAGGATGAGCGTAGAAAGAGATGGATGGAGGATGAGTGTAGAAAGAGGCTACAGTATATTTATCTGCTATTTGCAGTTGTACACTAGTAGTAGCAGACCATTCCCTACCCTGTAGCATGGCAGAGGTGGTGTAATAATTGAAGGGGACGTTTTTGATCATGTATTTCTCCTGGTCCAGTGATCCCAGTTTGTCTCCGACCAGAACAGACTTCCCAGTACCGGCATTCCCGATCAGCATAACGGGCCGGCGGTGTTCCAAGAGGCGGTCCATGAAGTAACGGACACGGATAGTCTCTGTGGTGTGGACCAGACATGCCTGGGGAGACGAGAGATAGGGGACAGAGTTCAGATAGACTGTAGATACTCTACAGGTTCATGTTCCCCCACAGATCTAGGATCAGATTACTCAGCTCTAATTACAACCTTAACCATTACTTATTGTGGTCCTTCAAGCCGGATGTTGTGCAATAGTTATGCCACTGATGTTCAGTTATTGTAAGTTGCTCTAGAGAAGAGCATCTGGTAAAAGACTAAATTGTAAAGAATATATTTTACTCCGGGCCATAGATGACTCCATAGATGAGCTTTGGAGCAGCTAATGTATGATATAATGTCACTATAGAAGTGACATGAAGTGACACCAATAACACAAGACTTTACCGTACCTGTAGAGGAATATCTGCATCCATCTGGAACCTGGGCACCATCTTAGACCAGGGTTCAAACTTCTTGGTGTCGGGGTCTATGTAGTAATCAAACACAGTCCCCTGGGAGGGGAACTTGATGGTCTTAAACTCTGTCACCCACCACTTACTAAACTCCACACGGTAGTCCACCAACTACACACACACACACAGGGAGATACAAACATTGGGTCAATTTCAATAGTCTTGAGAGGTTTTCTCTCCATGTTTCTGCTACTGATATGTACAACAGATGAAGGAGATACTTTTGAGAGAGGAAGCCATGGTTTATTGCGTTGTGGTCACACTTTCTGCCTGCATTAAAACACAATAAAATGAAACATAAAGACACTACTATCCATCTACCCACTGGGCAAAAACTGGTTGTGTTACCACGTCATTCCAACAAGAAAATTCAATGTGATGACGTTGAATCAAAGTGGAAAACTGATTGGATTCGCAAAAAGTAATCAACCATAAGGGAATTCCGCCTTTTTTTCACCCAACTTTTAACCTAAATCCAATGATATGGTGACATTATTTGTTGATTTCACATTGAATTCACGTTAGTTAACAACTCAACCAAATGTAAATCCAAACCTGACGTTGAAATGACGTCTGTGGCCAGTGGGTATCCATCAGTAAAAAAATAAACATCCCTGAGCTGTTATTTCCTCTCTCCAGGCTGACTACTGTGTTCAGGCCCTGCTCTACAGTCAATAAACCCACTTAGCATATAAATGCAGTGTAGATAAGGAAATAAAGTGGAGTACATTGGTACGCTAGGAGAGACTGTTTTATCCCATAACTTAGATGGACGTGGTTACTGTACGAAGCGGTCTGGGTTGCTTAGCAACCACTCATCACTTTGTTCGCCCCTGGTTAAAAATTCAGCTGGCTATAGTGTTTAGGACTGTGAGTGGGATCCACTTAGTTTTGGAAATGAAGCTGCAATACAGTGTGGAGTCCTCACATTGAAAACCACCATACTTTACTGAAATATAGGTGAAGCAATTCTCATCATTTGAAGCTTTGAGGGGAGTTGGAGAGCGAATTAGATGACGATTTACTAAAGCTTTTGCACCAGTGATAACAGCATACCACTTTTTCTGAAGCAATCTATTTTAATTATTTGACTCTGAGGGAAAGCACTTATCCACTACACAGGAATGTGTCTCAAAACAATATATGCCATTTAGCAGACACTTTCATCCAAAGCAATTTACATTTTAAGTACGGGTGGTCCCAGGAATTGAACCCACTATCCTGGTGTTGCGAGCACCAAAGCCATGCTCTACCAACTGAGCTATAGAGGACCAACCATAATCATAGGAATCATTCAACTATCCTACCTGGTCCTGGAACATGGCACCTCCGAAGGCCCAGACAGCACCGAAGACAAAGTAGAGTTCGTAGAGTTCCTTAGGGCAGTCTGGAGGGGTGTGTTCTGGGGTTAACAGACACTCCAACAGATGGCACAGCATCTGGACCATACTTTGCTCTGGGACTGGGATGATCTTCTTAAATCTGACCACACACGTTACAGACATAGGAGTAAGACCATGAGTGAAATAAATGTTTATGGTTTTGTTTTTTATATCTGACACTATTTAGGCCTATGGTTCTGTCCCTCTCCGTCTTCTCTCTCTACCCTTTCTTACTCCTCTCACCCTCATCCATGTCTACAGTCTCTCTCCCCTCAGTCCAGAGGAACCATCTAGATCACTATGAACCATTCCATACTGACAGCTGATGTGTTACCTGGACCTGAGGGTGTCCAGACATGAGGGGAGGTACTTGTCAAACAGGATGGTCAGGTTGGCCTTCTCCGATTGGACCTCCCTCCTGTCAATCCAGCTGGAAACAGGTGGGTTCCAGCCCAGATCTGCCGGGTTGATATACAGAATGCCTGGAGGGACAAGCAGAGCTTGTTACTCTGTAGTCACATGTAAACAGGTAATTACATGGTATGTACAAATACATGTAAAATGTGAAATATGTGGTCTATGAAAATGACAAAAGAAGAGGAGAGCAGGGGGACAGGAATAGGATAAGAGAAGGATAAGGCGAGGAGGAGGAGAGGAGGAGGGAAAGACTAGCGTACCAGCTCTAGATACAGTAGCAGGAGTAGCAGTCCGGAGGTGACTGATCTCAAACACCAGCCTCATGGTCGGGTTGAGAGGGATACGTTCATTACTCGCCAGAGTTAACACCTAATGCAGGGAGTGGTACAGAGAATTATTACACAGACAGACAGAGAAACGCAGACAGAGAGACAGACACACACCTTGTTGTCATCCATGACAGTGTTGAGAGACTCGATCCACATGGGGTCTATGTCTCCATCCAGTACGATCCATTTAGGCCCAGTGTGACTGAGGTTAGCCAGCTCACGCATGATGTTAGAGAACAAACCTGGAAAACAGACACGTATCAAAGGTCTATATGTTGACCATATCATCGTCATGACCATCACCATCATGACCGTCATCCTCATGCCCGCCCCTCACCATCCCTCCACTCCCTGGTTGCAGGGTTGATGATGCCAAACAGCTCGTCGTTGGTCACAGCTTTGGGGTTGAGGTCCGCCCACACGGGCCTTCGCTTCATGTTCTGGTAGGTCCGTTGGAGTGACCTCATCACCTGGCTCTTCCCTGTGCCTGCGTTACCCACTACAAACACAGAGTGGCGCACCGCCAGCAACTCTTCCAACTGTACCACCTGGGGGAAGGAGGGAGAGAGCGAGAGGCAGCGAGAGAAAGGGAGAGACATATAGTATAATAATAATATGCCATATGACACTTTTATCCAAAGCGACTTACAGTCATGCGTGCATACATTATTTTTTTGTGTATGGGTGGTCCCGGGGATCGAACCCACTACCTTAGCGTTACAAGCGCCGTGCTCTACCAGCTGAGCTACAGAGGACCACAGTATAGTATTGCTATACAGAATGGTATGGTGCACTGCAATGCAGCTGAGTAAATCAGTACCATACTGTGTGTCACTCCCGTTACAGTTCAGTGAAAGAGCAGTATTTACTGCTTACTGCAAACATCAACCAGTGTGGAAAGAACACATTATGCTACCTCTAACACTGCCTCATCTGTGTTATGTAAAGTATCAAATTTATCTCATTAATATCAGCAACACTTTGATACACAATTATGACTGAGAAATAATATTAACTTTAATGGTGGATGTGACAGGAACTTGAGAAAATAACAGATTACAGTACAGTGTGGCAAATATCAATGTCTCTGTAAGAAAACCATATTTCCTTTGACAGTGAAACTCACTGATAGCATGCTCAATTAATGCAATTCACCCTCAGCATAGTGTTAGCATCTGAAAGACACACATTTTTTTTTAGTTTTTCTTTATTTAACTAGGCAAGTCAGTTAAGAACAAATTCTTATTTACAATGATGGCCTACACCGGCCAAACACGGATGACGCTGGGCCAATTGTGCGCCGCCCTATGGGACTCCCAATTACGTCCGGTTGTGATACAGCCTGGAATCGAACCAGGGGGTCTGTAGTGACAGCTCAAGCACTGAGATGCAGTGCCTTAGAACACTGCGCCACTCGGGAGCCACATTGATTACAGTTTTGATGTGTGGGCAGCTGACACCACAAGAGGCTAATGCTAGCACTACAAGAGGCTAACACTAAATGCAGATAAAACCATTCCCCTCTGGACTTTCTCCTTTCACTCCAATCTTACTGACCAACAGACTCTGGCGAAAAGTAGTGCACTATAATATAGCTTAATATGGCTATAGGAAATAAGGTGTCCGACAGAGACAGAGAGTGTAAGGTTCAGACAATATAAATGGATCATTATTGACCTGCCGTTGTCTCATCAGCCTTTTCCCTCCCTGTTTATATCCATGTATGGTGTCTGTGACAGTGGCAGGGTTATGAGCTGCTCTTGCGGTACAGCGGTGTGATGGAGTGTCATTATTTTGCTATCATGCCGCTTTGACCTGCTGCAGATTGCACTCATTTCCCGTGGCCCCGCTTTCCTCTGTCTCTGACAGTGTGTGTGTGTGTGTGTGTGAACGCAGCATAATGGCTAGAATAAGGACGGTGGACCTTTCCACCTGGGACGTTATTACAGTATAACCGGAGGGTTTGGGTTGGGTATATTTGGCCGATTCATCCACAACCCAGACTGCTCTGACAGTAATGTGTACTTACCACTGATACAGTACAGTGCAACACCAGGTACATGGCTTTTGGAGAAAAGGGAACTAGTAGCAGAGAAACGATAGAGCTGAATTGGTTGTTTTATTGTTAATTACCAAGCTTGAAGTGTGGTTTATTTTCCCTGGTAGTGTTATTGAAGGTCAGGGACATTACAGTATTATGGCTGTGTTCATATAGGGCTATCATCTGCCGTCAAAAAACGGTGGCTTTTCATGCTTTTTGGATGGGTTTAGGCCTGAGTCATTCATCATAACTTTTAACCAACACTCTAAAGGCTGAAACAGCCCACCCTGGTCAACCGGTAACTACAACTCACCTTCAGTACAAAGTTATCCTCTGCTTGTAGTTTGAGGTCCAGCACAGACTGCTTGACATGCTTCTCAAACTCCAGGTCTCTCTTCCTGGGGACGTCCAGAGCAGGGAACAGGTCTCCGATAAGCCCCATGAACACTGGCATGTCATCCGTCACGATCTTAGGGATGTTGAAGTCTCTCAGAGCCCGCATGAGGACCTGGTCCTCCGGCCGATCTGGGTCACCCCGCTTCAGGGAGCCAGCCACCACCAGGACAGACTTGATGGCCCTCAACCCCCAGTCATAGTGGTCCTGGAGACCAGGGAGAGACGGAACATTAATATTTAAGGGGCATTTTCCTTTTCCAAGAATTACAAAGATGTGTAGTCGAAGGGATAGAAATGGCTGGCTTTTGTACCAAGAGTTTCCCAAAGTGCTTGTTTATTAGACAGACATTTACATTTTAGTCATTTAGCAGACGCTCTTATCCAGAGCGACTTACAGGAGCAATTAGGGTTAAGTGCCTTGCTCAAGGGCACATCGACAGATTTTTCACCTAGTCGGCTCAGGGATTAGAACCAGCGACCTTTCGGTTCCTGTCACAATGCTCTTAACCACTAAGCTACCTGCCGCCCTAAAGTATAGTCTTTGATGTTTTGAAATGTCAAACATGATTGTGTCCTTTTTTTGTGGTTTCAGCAGAACATATTTTGAAGGTAAGACAAGGACAAATGGTCAAACAAGATATGTCAACACTTTAACCTATACATACACTACCGGTCAAATGTTTGGACACACCTACTCATTCAAGGGTTTTTCTTTATTTTTTACTATTTTCTACATTGTAGAATAATAGTGAAGACATCAAAATTATGAAATAACACATATGGAATCTTGTAGTAACCAAAAAAGTGTTTAACAAATCAAAATATATTTCAGATTTGAGATTCTTCAAATAGCCACCCTTTGCCTTGATGACAGCTTTGCACACTCTTGGCATTCTCTCAACCAGCTTCATGAGGTAGTCACCTTCTTAAAGGTTCATTTGTGGAATTTCTTTCCTTAATGCATTTGAGCCAATCAGTTGTGTTGTGACAAGGTAGGGGGGGTATACAGAAGATAGCCCTATTTGGTAAAGGACCAAGTCCATATTATTGCAAGAACAGCTCAAATAAGCAAAGAGAAACGACAGTCCATCATTACTTTAAGACATGAAGGTCAGTCAATACGGAACATTTCAAGTTTCTTCAAGTGCAGTCGCAAAAGCCATCAAGCGCTATGATGAAACTGGCTCTCATGAGGACCGCCACAGGAATGGAAGACCCAGAGTTACCTCTCCTGCAGAGGATAAGTTCATTAGAGTTACCAGCCTAAAAAATTGCAGCCCAAATAAATGCTTCACAGAGTTCAAGTAACAGACACATCTCAACATCAACTGTTCAGAGGGGACTGTGTGAATCAGGCCTTCATGGTCGAATTGCTGCAAAGAAACCACTACTAAAGGACACCAATAAGAAGAAGAGACCTGCTTGGGCCAAGAAACACAAGCAATGGACATTAGACCGGTGGAAATTTGTCCAAATTGGAGATTTTTGGTTCCAACCACCGTGTCTTTGTGAGGCGCGGTGTGGGTGAACTGATGATCACCGCATGTGTAGTTCCCACCGTAAAGCATGGAGGAGGTGTTATGGTGTGGGGGTGCTTTGCTGGTGACACGGTCTGTGATTTGTTTAGAATTCAAGGCACACTTAACCAACATGTCTACCACATGATTCTGCAGCGATACGCCATCCCATCTGGTTTGGGCTTAGTGGGACTATAATTTGTTTTTCAACAGGAAAATGACCCAACACACCTCCAGGCTGTGTAAGGGCTATTTTACCAAGAAGGAGAGTGATGGAGTGCTGCATCAGATGACCTGGCCTCCACAATCCCCCGACCTCAACCCAATCGAGATGGTTTGAGATGTGTCGGACGGCAGAGTGAAGGAAAAGCAGCCAACAAGTGCTCAGCATATGTTGTAACTCGTTCAACACTGTTGGAAAAGCATTCCAGGTGAAGCTGGTTGAGAGAATGCCAAGAGTTTGCAAAGCTGTCATCAAGGCAAAGGGTGGCTATTTGAAGAATCTCAAATATAAAATATATTTTGATTTGTTTAACACTGTTTTGGTTACTACATGATTCCATTTGTGTTATTTCATAGTTTTGATGTCTTCACTATTATTCTAGAATATAAAAAATAGTAAAAAAATAAAGAAAAACCCTTGAATGAGTAGGTGTGTCCAAACGTTTGACTGGTAGTGTATATCTTTGTTACACACAAGTTTGCACACAGCAAGTTATTTCATAATAATATGATGACACATAATGTAGTCCCAGCATTATTTAATCCACTTTTAGATAATCAACCACTTGTTTTTTGTATTCCTTTCATTGATTTGCCATTTCAGCCAATAAGAACATTGTTTAGTATACAATCTGTTCATTATCGTCTTAGTTTATAGCTACCAAAGAACTTGTGCGTCATGAAGGGCCATAAAAAGAGTAACTATGACAGTTTAATGGACCTCCGACAGCAGGATATTAATCCATAATAAACATCTCTCTCGGTAATTGACCGGTAATTAACATTAACACGGTCATGCTATTATTTTATATTATATGATTTTATAGTAAGAAGAATATAATTGAACTTTATTTTTCCCATTCTGGAGCGAGTGTGTGAGCATATGAAGTGGCTATGCTGATCGTAAAAGTGATCATTTGAAACAGGTCCAGAGTTATTTGGTAACTTTAGTTGTGAACGTTACAAACCTTAGAATGCCTTAGAAATCAAAAGATATATGGGCTGGATGATGCGACTATAGGCTATTGACGATTTGAGAATGTACAAAAAAATAACATGCGCTCTGTTCCTTGCCTCAGACTGCACATGCTGTTCTCTCATCAAGTGAACATATTTTCACCCATCAGACTATTCTCAATATACATATTTACTAATATGTAAAATTAGGTTAGATTTAGAATGACCCATTATCAAATTGGCAGGAACAGGGGCAGGGGGAAAAAAAAGACATAATCCGTATGCACTGGAATAGCGAATGGAGGCCACTTTCCTGCAGGTACAATTTTCACTCACGTTGGGTCGGCCACTCCGGTAATTTCGCTGCGCTACAGGTGATATTCCACCTAAACTCTGTATGCCATGGGCTCTCCAACCATTTCCTGCAGCTACCTAGTGCTTCATTTGGGAAACCAAGTGAAATCTCTTCAGGAACATTGATAGTAACATGTTTTCAAAACAAAACATATTTCATTAAACTGTTGACAGCCCCTCTCTCTGCGCGCTGGAGAAATTAATGAAGGAGAGAGGGGAGGAGATGGAAACTCATGGTGGTGAGATATTCTGTAGCTAAAAGGTAATTTGTCAACCTATTAATTATTAAAATATAAAACATTCCCTATTATTAGGCTATTTAAAATCAAATTCACTATAATTGTAGGCTAAATCTGAATTTGTTTAATTTAGGCTAGACCAATTATGTCCCAATGTTTTTCTGCCATGTATAATGTATGTATTGTATAACGGCACAATCATTATTTTAATTCAGGTTTTTTTTGGGGGGGGGGGGGGGGGGGGGGGGGCTTTGGCTCATATATAGGCCTATGCTTATGCATAAACTCTAATATGCATATGGATGTTTTGAATGAATCATCACCTTAGAAAGCACTGCCCATTTCATTGTGTTAGGCTTTGAAACAACATCCACAATGACCATGTTTTCCACTCAGTTTCAACCTGCTGTTGAACTTCTTTCTTCAAATTGATCAATCACAGTGAGGTGAGTTTTAAAAGCACGATACTGGTTTGATGATAAGTGTTTGATGTGATTTTCTATTGCATTGATGTCAGAGTGGTTAGAGGGACAATAGATCCCTGAATACCAGGCCATTAGCGACCTGATGATCATTAGCGAGTTGGGTACTACTGTTCAGAGTGCATAACAAGAGATTACCGTGACTCAGTGGTCACATAGAATTTTACTGCGGTCATGACTCATGACTGCCAGTGTGGGGTAATACGGTCACCGCAACAGCCCTACTCTATACTGAGTGTCAAATACATGTTCTGTAACACTCATTGCCATGCATCACATACAGGCTATGCAGAGTATCAAATGTAATGTTCATCCACTTACTGTATGGCAGTGTTTCATATCTGGAATATCAGATTCTGTATGGAGCTGTAGTTCTTCTCTATATCCAGTCATTTTTGTGTAATAATCAATATGGACATAATGGAGCTAGCCTGGTCCCAGATCTGTTTGTGCTGTCTTGCCAACTCCTTTGGTCATTGTCACGCCACAATGACCATGGGAGTTGGCAAGACAGCACAAACAGACAAGGGACCAGGCTATAATGGAGCTAGTGTATAAGATCAAGGATCTGAAGCATACTGTACCTGTTTGGAAAGCAGCTCTTTGCAGAGTGTGTAGAGGGTGATGAACTTCCTGGCCAGGACTCTGGCATCGAGGAAACCTTCAGCCACCAACATGATCTCACAGATCAACTCAAAGTCTGGTACTACCATGGCACAAGGCCTACAGAGAGGGTGGGAGGGAGGTAGGGAGGGAGGGAGGGAGGGAGGGAGGGAGGGAAGGAGGGAGAGAAAGTAAGATTAAGTTCAGTGGGCTGACAGTCATGTGGCTTGCAGTCAACCCTGGTACAAATCCCGTCGGGGACATTCAGTTCATGTAACTGTTGGACTGAAATATATTCATTGTCATTTGTCCGTTTTTCTTCCGTCAACATTTTCATACACATCCCACGGTGAATGCTTTAAAGGGGGTAAATCATCTTTGTTTTTCATCAGTCTCATCATTCTATTGTTAAATACGACATCATAGCACTGTAAAAACAAGGAAACCCTTTTGTGCGTGTTCCGTGTGTTACCTAAACAGGGCCTTGAGGTTCTCAGGTAGTTCGGTCCTGCCAGCGTAGCCTGGGTTCATAGTGATGAAGATGCCTACAGAGGGGAAGAGATTCACCTCCTCGCCCATGAAGTTAAACCTCTGCTTCTTGTCTCGGATGGCGTCCTGGATGCTCTTCACCTGGACAGGACAGATGTATAGATATACAGAGATGTATAGATATAGAAGACAGTCAGGAACTATGTTCAGTCTGATAACAAAGCTAGAATAGGTAGGTGGTCTTGTAAGATACTACCGCTGGTATTCAATCACCAACAAACACAAAATGGAATGGTATTCACACTCTAAAATATAGCCTAGGCAATGATATTTGCATGGACGCATCTTGTTTTACGGCCAGCATTTTATATACGGAGATGGAGTCTCACTTTCTTCGAAAAAGCTATAAGCTAGCGTTTACTGAAATGATAAAACGGCAACACTAGTTCATTCTCATCATATGACATATCCTACATCTGTGTGTGTGTCTAGGATGTGTACAGTAAGAATAAGATGAATGTTGCCGTGTCCTTGGCTGAATCCAAGATCTCGACTGTGTGGTAAAATAGATTAGTTTCGAAAACGCTGTGTTGACTCTGTGTGTATATGAAACAACACAAACACTCCCATAATTATACACCCATTAGGCATTATTCATCATCCAGTCTGGTATTTTGCAGACAATTTCACCAACAGACAGTTGTGTTGAGGAGAAGAGAGGGGCTGAATTTAGCTCATCTGTCTCCATTCAGCTGTGTCTGTGCTGCCTTCTGTTTCCCTGCCCTTTACCTAATGGAGAATTGATCCTGCCATCTGCGAACGCACTCACAAACTGCAGCTACGTTATGGCGCCTCCTCTCCCCTTAAACAGAATGGATTATCGTACACCATCCTCTGACATTCGCTTATGGAGAAGACGGGTGGGTCGTGTTCATTAGGCACAGAACAGAAGAAAAACAGACTGAGAAAAAGGGAGGAAGGCACTACCTGGACTTGTCCAATGAGAAACGCTAATTTTGTTGTTTGCGTTGCAAAACAGTTTAAAATGTTTTCTGTTGCGTGCTGTTATGAACACAACCTGGGTGAAGCGCAGAGGAAGGAGAAGATGGTACTGGAGAGGGTGGGAGAGCGCCCGTCAGAAATATTTGATTGTTCTCTGCCATTCTTTTCCAAGGTCTTCTTCCTTTCTAAGCATAGCCTGATTTATTATTAAATAAGCCTGCTAACGCACATCTATTGCTCTGTTCTGCCGCTTTACAATTTCATAGTTCTCTCTCTCTCTCTGACTTATTGAGAACGTTTCCTTTCATAGCTAGCTGCCGGGGAGAGGGCAGAAAAACTGGCTGTGCTGTGCTATACTGCTAGTCTACGAAACCCCTACCTGTCCCAGACCTGCTGTTTTCAACTCTTAATGATCGGCTATGAAAAGCCAACTGAGAGACCTGAGCCCTAGGACCATACGTCGGGACTACCGGCCGTGGTGACTCCTTGCTGTCCCCAGTCCGCCTGGCCTTGCTGCTATTCCAGTTTCAACTGTTCTGCCTGCGGTTATGGAACCCCTACCTGTCCCAGACCTGCTGTTTTCAACTCTTAATGATCGGCTATGAAAAGCCAACTGAGATTTATTCCTGATTATTATTTGACCATGCTTGTCACTTATGAACATTTTTGAACATCTTGGCATGGTTCTGTTATAATCTCCACCCGGCACAGCCAGAAGAGGACTGGCCACCCCTCATAGCCTGGTTCCTCTCTAGGTTTCTTCCTAGGTTTTCGCCTTTCTAGGGAGTTTTTCCTAGCCACCGTGCTTCTACACCTGCATTACTAGCTGTTTGGGGTTTTAGGCTGGGTTTCTGTACAGCACTTCGAGATATTAGCTGATGTAAGAAGGGCTATATAAAATAAAATTGATTGATTGATTGATAGTCTGATGATGACGGAAACCTATCAACATTATCACGATCATTGTGATTTAACAAGCATTACCTACTGCACATAATGTTATGATATGGGGGAAGGTAAGTATTAGGGCATAAACAAACACACTATCCAGGATAAACTTCCACACTCCATTCACCCAGGGGGCAGCAGCAACCTTGTCCAGATGCTGAGTCTGGTTGATAAGCAAATCAGGTGCAACCAATTAAGGTGATGGTCAGTGAGTGTCCCTGTTTGCAAGCCGTGATGCTACTGGGTTTGTTGGTTTTAAGAGTCTTTTTTTTACCAAGTTAAGATTGCTGTCTCCCTGGGCACATGTACATCCATCACGGTCCTCAAATGCTGATTTCTCACATAAATGCACACATTCATTCAGGTTACAGATCATGTAACTAGGCCTAGGACACCTAGACAAAGCGAGTGCAACAATATCCGTAACCTAGTTATGAGTTTCGTAACAATACACAATACAAAATATGAATATGTACTGTGCTAACTCATGCAATCATTGGTTCAGATTATTTTGTGCCCAATAGAAATGAAAGGTAAATCATGTATTGTGTAATTTAGGAGTCACTTTTATTGTAAAGAAGAATAGAATATGTTTCTAAACACTTCTACATTAATGTGGATGCTACCATGATTATGGATAGTCCTGAATGAATCGCGAATAATGATGAGTGAGAATTACAGAGGCACAAATATCATTCCCCCAAGACAGGCTAACCTCTCCCCATTACAATAACAGGCGAGGTTCGCATTCATTTTTTTTTTTTTGGGGGGGGGGTGATATTTGTGCGTCTGTAACTTTCTCACTCATCATTATTCACAATTAATTCAGGACTATCCACAATCATGGTAGCATCCACATTAATGTAGAAGTGTTTAGAAACATATTATATTCTTAATTTACAGTCCAGAGTCAATATATAAAGTGTCACTGTCCCAATACTTTTGGAGCGCACTGTATGATTAGCCCAGGGACATGCTTACCTGCACAGCGACCACAGACAGCACCTCCACAGTGATCCTGTTAAATTCGTCAAAGCAGCCCCACGCTCCTGTCTGGGCCAGGCCTTTATAGATGTTCCCACATGACTGGATGAGGGGTCAGAGAGAGAGAGAGAGAGAGAAGAGAGGAGAAAGAGAGAGAGAGGGGGATGGGGGGTGGGAGGGAGATGTGTTTTATACAGAGTAAGATTGAAGGTAAGATTGACAACAGACATTTGAGATTTACCACAATAGCAAGGGCCTAAACATTCTTTCCTAAACGGGTGACATTTTGTTGCCGGCTGTCTATTGAAAAAGGTTAAATGCCAACACACACCACCCACGATCAGTTTTCTCCACAGACACAGAACACAAACTTCTGAGCAGGTGAAACAGCCTCCTGAGATTCACTAGACAGGAGAGAGGTAGGATCCAAATCTTCCTCCCCATTATAGGGCAGAGCCCTGACACTAACCAAGCCTGACTGCAGGTTTGATGTGTGTGTGTGTGTGTGTGTGTGTGTGTGTGTGTGTGTGTGTGTGAGAGTGTGTGTGTGTGCCGCTTGGTTGTATGACTTTACACCATCTCTGCCTCTCCTGGTGTATATTAGTGCTTCTCTCTGACACATCAATGCAGTGTGGTGTGTGTGTGTGTGTGTGTGTGTGTGTGTGTAGGGTGGGAAGGGCAATAATAATTATCCTGTCTAGAGAGGCAGCAACAAGCTGTATGAAGAGATTATGCCTGCGTCTCTATTGATGCAGTGAGTGTGTGTGTGTGTGTGTGTGTGTGTGTGTGTGTGTGTGTGTGTGTGTGTGTGTGTGTGTGTGTGTGTGTGTGTGTGTGTGTGTGTGTGTGTGTGCATGTTGCGGCAGGAACACTGAGATGGGCATCTGACAACGCTTAACAGCTAAATAAATGCATCCGTCAGGTTGAACTGTTATGTTCTTCCTTCAATGACAGAGGGAGAGAGAGAGAGAGATGAGACAGAAAGAGAGAGAGACAGGGAGCTCTCTTTACCCTCCTCTCCATCTCCATTTCAAATACCCACACCGAGTAGAGTTGGAGAAGCAGAGCTTAGATCAGGGATGGGCAACTGGCGGCCCTCGGATTAATTCCCCCGCCCCCCCCCCCCCCCCCCCCCCAAAAGAAACTCAGTCGGGGTCTCAACTTAGAATAGTTAGAATAGTAGACTACACAAGGTGCAATTTTGAAATTTGGTTGTGCATCAACTGTTTTACTCTTATGTCAGCCACTGATAGTCAGTCAATTAGCCCATGTCAGCTGACATTCTTTAGATTGCTAAATTAGTTTAGCGGCCAGCTATCCAAACTTGTTATCATGGTCGTATTACCGGCCGGGGGGCCCCCATTGATTTTGTTAGTCAGTCTCACTCAGATATCATACTAAAAACTGCAAACATTTCTCTCCGCCACTTGGCAAAATGTGTAGAATTGCAGCGAACTTGCTTTAAATTGCAACATTTGCTCTACACTCCATGGCAAAATGTGTAGAATTGCACGAAATTAACTCAAAAACTTAATTTTTAAGAAATCTCCGCTGTCAAGATGTTTTGCTCGCAATGTGGGAGGTATGGATGTGGGTACGCAGACCCGTGAGCAACTGCGGGCCCTTATGATGAATTCTGTTTTTTTGTGGCCCCCACCCCCATCAAAGTTGCCCATCTCTGACTTAGATGATTCATAGCCTGTCTGTAGAGGGAGTGGGAGCCCACCTTGTAGTCCATCTGCTCGGAGCAGTTGAATACATAGACCATGATGCCGAGGGCTCGGCCCAGATCCTTGGTGGTCTCTGTCTTGCCAGTGCCTGCTGGGCCTGCTGGAGCACCACTCATAGTCAGGTGGAGGGACTGGGTCAGAGTGATGTAGCACCTGGGAAACACACACAGTTAAAACACACACCCATACACACACACACTCCGAAGAGTTAAACCCACACACACACATCACACTCCTTAGTAATAACAACTTCACTTCTGTCATAGGCTGATTAATTCAATTAAATAACAAGCAGGCATTTAAATGCAACAACAATCTGAATGTTTCAATAGTGCACTAAGGTGTTTAGAAGGACTGATAGAGACAATCAAATCTGCATTGATCATCAATATAAATGCAATGTTTCGCCTCTGAAATCAATGTGGTAATCATTTTAGCAATCAGAGGGTAAATAGATAATATACTGAGAGAGAGAGCGAGAGAGAGAGAGATTGTGTTAAAGAGATATGCAAGCTTCCGGAAGACAAACGATCCAATCTGTGTCATCCAGAGACTGTTGCCAACGTTTTTATAGACGTTTTTGAAATATGGACAAATATCACACAATCAATTGTCTGGGTGGCTACAAACCTGCTTGTTCTGAATACCTAAAATGCCTAAACACAGTTCTCAGAAGGGGCCGAAACAATTTGTGCCGTTTAACTGAGAAGTATTGTGTACGTGTGATTATATCATTGTTTTTCTACCAGGGGGATGCCAACAAAACCCCTATAAACACATTTGCTTCCAGAACTATGTGATTGAAATCCAAACACAAATCTGAAACCTGAAATCAAACTGTTTAAGCCATCTGTGAATGAATGACAACTTTATATCAAACTTTCCCTGACTCCAGTATGGCTGAATGACAGAGGGTCAGTGGTCAACAGTTTGACAGGCAGAGATAACGAGATAGAGGACTGTCTCTGGCCATATGCTGCCTCTACGACCACTGATCACTGATCCAGCCTTCAAACACCATTGTCTTTGTGGTGCTTTGTTCTGTCTTCAAAGGGAATAGGCTACTGGTCAGTTCCACAGCCACAGTTTGCCAGAGGACTACAGAAACAGGTCATGAATCCGCTTTTTATATTCAAACTTTTTTCTGTGATGTTTCCCACAATAATGCAGTAACCCCGTTCAAGCTGCAATTGCTTGTATGAAAGGTGCTAAACAACAACAAATACATTTTTCTTACGATTATTTGTATTAATCCAAGAAAAAATATATTGCAGATAGAAATGCCATGAATAGAACTGACATGATTCCTTAGAATCAGAGAGGCATATTTCTATATAATACATTTATATCTGAACGTTGGCCAACGTTATGTCAGTCCTCTGGCCCTGGCACCCGCTTGTCCCTACATATGTGAAGCTAGCCAAAATAACTTATTAGCCACCATAGTGAATTTGCAGTTCACCTTAAAAATAAATGTCCCTCATTGAAAGTGATGCTAACGCATACAAATAGTGGAATCATGCCATATTTGGACTAGATAATGCTAAACAAGGTTGGAATGTTGTAACATAATTTAAGATTAAATACAATAAATAATTATTTAGACAAACAGAAAGAAACTGTTGAAATCCCACTGTGGATGTACAGTGAGGGAAAAAAGTATTTGATCCCCTGCTGATTTTGTATGTTTGCCCACTGACAAAGAAATGATCAGTCTATAATTTTAATGGTAGGTTTATTTGAACAGTGAGAGACAGAATAACAACAACAAAAAACAGAAAAATGCATGTCAAAAATGTTATAAATTGATTTGTATTTTAATGAGGGAAATAAGTATTCGACCCCTCTGCAAAACATGACTTAGTACTTGGTGGCAAAACCCTTGTTGGCAATCACAGAGGTCAGATGTTTCTTGTAGTTGGCCACCAGGTTTGCACACATCTCAGGAAGGATTTTGTCCCACTCCTCTTTGCAGATCTTCTCCAAGTCATTAAGGTTTCGAGGCTGACGTTTGGCAACTCGAACCTTCAGCTCCCTCCACTGGCTAGGCCACTCCAGGACCTTAATGTGCTTCTTCTTGAGCCACTCCTTTGTTGCCTTGGCCGTGTGTTTTGGGTTATTGTCATGCTGGAATACCCATCCACGACCCATTTTCAATGCCCTGGCTGAGGGAAGGAGGTTCTCACCCAAGATTTGACGGTACATGGCCCGTCCATCGTCCCTTTGATGCGGTGAAGTTGTCCTGTCCCCTTAGCAGAAAAACACCCCCAAAGCATAATGTTTCCACCTCCATGTTTGACGGTGGGTATGGTGTTCTTGGGGTCATAGGCAGCATTCCTCCTCCTCCAAACACGTCAAGTTGAGTTGATGCCAAAGAGCTCCATTTTGGTCTCATCTGACCACAACACTTTCACTCAGTTTTCCTCTGAATCATTCAGATGTTCATTGGCAAACTTCAGACGGGCCTGTATATGTGCTTTCTTGAGCAGGGGGTCCTTGCGGGCACTGCAGGATTTCAGTCCTTCACGGCGTAGTGTGTTACCAATTGTTTTCTTGGTGACTATGGTCCCAGCTGCCTTGAGATCATTGACAAGATCCTCCCGTGTAGTTCTGGGCTGATTCCTCACCGTTCTCATGATCATTGCAACACCACGAGGTGAGATCTTGCATGGAGCCCCAGGCCGAGGGAGATTGACAGTTCTTTTGTGTTTCTTCCATTTGCGAATAATCGCACCAACTGTTGTCACCTTCTCACCAAGCTGCTTGGCGATGGTCTTGTAGCCCATTCCAGCCTTGTGTAGGTCTACAATCTTGTCCCTGACATCCTTGGAGAGCTCTTTGGTCTTGGCCATGGTGGAGAGTTTGGAATCTGATTGATTGATTGCTTCTGTGGACAGGTGTCTTTTATACAGGTAACAAACTGAGATTAGGAGCACTCCCTTTAAGAGTGTGCTCCTAATCTCAGCTTGTTACCTGTATAAAAGACACCTGGGAGCCAGAAATCTTTCTGATTGAGAGGGGGTCAAATACTTATTTCCCTCATTAAAATGAAAATCAATTTATAACATTTTTGACATGTGTTTTTCTGGATTTTTTTGTTGTTATTCTGTCTCTCACTGTTCAAATAAATCTGACTGATCATTTCTTTGTCAGTGGGCAAACGTACAAAATCAGCAGGGGATCAAATACTTTTTTCCCTCACTGTAAGCATGCATAAAAAGTATTTACAGGCAACAGAAATGAGGAACCCAAAAATCTATTAGAAAATATTTATTTTTATTGTTAGACGTGACTCTAAACCTATAATGTTAGCCAGCTAACTAGCTAGCTAGAGTGGCTAGCTAGCTGATCTGTTACATGTTGTCACGATCGTCGTAAAGGAGAGTAGACCAAGGCGCAGCGTGTGAAACGAACATGACTTTATTCTATTAAAGTATCTAAATTACAAACAAAACACGACTCGTGAAGTCCACGGTTACACTGACCGCATAAGGAACAAAAACCCACAAACACAAGGTGAACACAGACAGTTTAAATATGGCTCCCAATCAGAGACAACGAGCCAACAGCTGACACTCGTTACCTCTGATTGGGAGTCACTCAAACAAAGAAATACAACAACCTAGAAATAGACACAACAGAACTACCAACATAGAAATAAACACATAGAATGAACACACCCTGGCTCAACATAATGAGTCCCAGAGCCAGGGTGTGACAGTACCCCCCCCCTAAAGGCGCGGACTGCGACCGCGCCTCAACTAAACAAAACAGGGGAGGGCTGGGCGGGCATACCTCCTCGGCGGCGGTTCTGGCTCCGGCCTTGACCACCACCCTCCGATACACCCCCCAAAGTACCCCTGGTCCTGTCTAGCCCCGCTGGCCGGAGCCGGACTGACGACACGCGCCCCTGGCTTGGTGCGTGGAACAGGAATGGACCGGAATGGGCTGGCGACGCGCACCACAGACTTGGTGCGGAGAGCAGGAACGAGCCGGACAGGGCTGACGACGCACCCCGTAGGCTTGGTGCGTGGAGGAGGAACGGGCCTTACCAGGCTGACGACTCGCACCACTGGCTTTGTGCGTGGAGGAGGAACGGGCCTTACCAGGCTGACTTCTCGCACCCCTGGCTTAGTGCGAGTGGCAGGAACAGGCCGGACCGGGCTGGCGACGCGCACCGTAGGTTTGGTGCGAGTGGCAGGAACAGGCCGGGTCGGGCTGGCGACGCGCACCGTAGGTTTGGTGCGAGTGGCAGGAACAGGCCGGGTCGGGCTGGCGACGCGCACCGTAGACTTGGTGCGGGTGGCAGGAACAGGCCGGACCGGGCTGGCGACGCGCACCGTAGGTTTGGTGCGAGTGGCAGGAACAGGCCGGGTCGGGCTGGCGACGCGCACCGTAGACTTGGTGCGGGTGGCAGGAACAGGCCGGACCGGGCTGGCGACGCGCACCGTAGGTTTGGTGCGAGTGGCAGGAACAGGCCGGGTCGGGCTGGCGACGCGCACCGTAGACTTGGTGCGGGTGGCAGGAACAGGCCGGACCGGGCTGTGGAGACGGATAGGAGGCCTGGAGTGAACAGCGGCCACCACCCGTCCTGGCTGAATGCCTACCCTCACACACTCTGTGTGAGGCATCCGCACAGGACGTACAGGGCGGTGTACCCCTGGCCTGGTGGCCTCCTGGATTCGCCCCATCTTTGCCTCCGTCGTCCATGCCGTGTGCCCCCCCCTAAAAATTTCTTGGGGTTGCCTCTCGACCCTCCGACGCTGCTCCCACGTCCAGGTTGCCTGTTCCTGGACATGCTGCTTGGTCCTTTGATGGTGGGTTTTTCTGTCACGATCGTCGTAAAGGAGAGTAGACCAAGGCGCAGCGTGTGAAACGAACATGACTTTATTCTATTAAAGTATCTAAATTACAAACAAAACACGACTCGTGAAGTCCACGGTTACACTGACCGCATAAGGAACAAAAACCCACAAACACAAGGTGAACACAGACAGTTTAAATATGGCTCCCAATCAGAGACAACGAGCCAACAGCTGACACTCGTTACCTCTGATTGGGAGTCACTCAAACAAAGAAATACAACAACCTAGAAATAGACACAACAGAACTACCAACATAGAAATAAACACATAGAATGAACACACCCTGGCTCAACATAATGAGTCCCAGAGCCAGGGTGTGACACATGTATGTGCTAACGTATCACCACGCAGGCTGCGTTTTGCCCTTCAACCAATAAAAACGTGTGGTAGGTGGGGCAGGCCCGGGCCGACCCTGCCCACAACTGACCACGCCCACAACCAACTCCGCCCCGTTCCATGTGCCGCAGTGAGGGCTAATTTCACCACGTGTGCAAAGCAGTCAACATTTAAGCACTGCCTTCTCCCAATCCTTTTACATCAATCCAAATAATCAGTGACAAAAACCCAAACACCAGAACTACTTCTGCTCGTTATCCTACCAATTCCATCCTGTTGTGACAGATTCTTCGGTTTATGCGCAGAATCTGTTCACGAGAGATTAGGCTCGCCCTAACTTGTCTATCAAAAAAGTAACCAACCATAGTAGTACTTATCTGTGAGTGGGATGATAAGCAATGAGAATGTGATACCCTGTGCCAGCGTAGTTGTTATTGGTCAGTGTACCTGTCAGTCAGCGGGGTGATGACCAGTCGTGGTGTGTTGCCCAGGTACTCGTATGAATAAAGGAACTGGGCGTCACAGATGTTGGCGAAGCAGTGTCTCTCCTTCTCATCCCAGCGATGACGCAGCTGAGACAACCATACGAACGCCTGAGAGTTCTCCACCTGGCGATGGGGGAATGAAGAGAGAGATAGGGAATTGGAAGAAGACGAAAAACAGGGACGAGTCAAAAAACATCCAAAACGCTTTCTTTCTTCGGTAAAGTTGCAAAACTTCCCTCAGGTACTTTTGTAAAGCCTTTATCATTATGTTAATTTCATAATTGAAAAAAGGTTGAAAACTAACTAAAACTGATACCTTCTGAGCGATGATTTTAGCAACCACGTCCCTCGCATGGACGTCTATGGTGCAGATGGTCATGACCTTCTGGCGGTCGCCCAGCGACAGCTGTCCAATCAGCATGGAGATGAGTGTGTTGAGCTGGGCGACCTGCTTCCTGTAGTATTCTTTCATGGCGTTCTCATATCCCTCCTCCAGACGGGAGAAGGCCATGCCCACATCTGACGTCCACCAGATCTGAGTACACGTCAGGGCCACCTAGAAGGCGAGATACACATACAGATTAGAAGTTAGAGGTCAAAGGTCAGAGGAAGATAGAGGTTTGACTTACAGATCTGAGTGCACATCAGGTCCACCTACACAGATCGATAAAAGACACAGGTCATGGCAGGAGCGGTCAACCCTCCTCCTGGAGAGCTATTGGGTGTGCAGGCTTTTGTGACAGCCCTGCTCTAACACACCTTCTTCTAATTCTAATGTAATACAGTACTACCTGAGCGGGGTAGTCAAACAGCCACTGTTCTCTGGGTTTGTCCTCATAGGCCATCACTGCCTCGGTCATCTCATGACGCACTGTTGACCGCATGGTGTCCAGAACACAGTTCAACCACACCTCCACCTGAAGACAACCACACACGACGATGACATACTACACATCCATACTATTAATGTGTCTGTCACTTTTTAACCGAGGGGCATCAGTCAACATGAATATACACAACTGGCCTTTCATTCAAATGAAGGGGACTAATAGGGAACTAATACATTTGATTTACATGCTTTGATATTTAACAGATTGGACTGAGAATGTCTGACAAATGCTAACATCTTTCAGTCCCTGTTCCCCATCCTAGCGTTACCTGTCCGGTGCAGTCGCAGGGCTGATTAAAGGGGACGTACTCCTCCTCCCTACTGAACATGCCCAGACCTGTCTTAGTAGGTTTCCCGTCCATGTCTGTCTCAAACTGCATCTTAGCTGTGTTGTCAAACAGCTTGGATAGATGTCTCTGGACCTAGGGACGGAGCAGATAGGACCACTCTTTATTGACAAGTTTCAACAAAAGTCTTTGTTCAAAGTCGTTGTTCAACTATCCTTCAATAGAGAAGAGAACAATTTTGCCCTTTTTTCTTTATTCCCAGGATGAGGTGTAAAGACTCTTGCAAACTATGACCAACACTGCTCTCTTGTGGAGACTCATAGTCCTACAGGTATGAGCAAAAAACTCATAAGTATTCATTATTCATTGTGAGACTTCTGGGCCCGTATTCACAAAACGTCTCAGAGTAAGAGTGCTGATCTAGGATCAGGTCCCAAACTGTCAATATAATCGTATTCATTATGTCCTAAAAGGCAAAACTGATCATAGATCAGCACTCCTACTCAGAGGCTTTGTGGATACACCTAATGGGTGTAGGTTCCTACCTGGAGTGGGTTGGTTCCATTGGACAGTATGTCCAGCATGTCAGCAGAGGAGATGAAATAGAATCTGGGGAAGGCCAGACGCTTGGTGTCCAGATACTCAGACAAGGCCTTCTCACACAGAGATAGTCTACACAAGGATAGACACAGACATTATCAGTCAATTGTGTGAGTGTGATAATGTGCAAGTGTATAAATACATGCATGGGTAAGTTCTTACATTTATATGTGTTGCCTTTTTCTATCGATAACACTATCATTCTCTTTTCGCTAACACAAATTTCAGTCCAAAAACATTTTTTAGCACTGTGAGAAAGAGAATCCAACCACACCACCACATACTCCCTCTCCTTCCCCCACCTGCTCTGAATGTCCTCCAGTTTGCTGAACAGGCCTGCTTTATTGGTGGCCTCCACCACATTGGGCGTTTTATGGGCTGCGTTCGCCAGCTCTTTGAAATCAGCATCAATCCAATCAAAGCGTTTGGAGTCCTGGGGAGAATTGCATTGTGGGAGCCCGGCCAGGGGATAGGAGTTCCCAGAGGACAGAGAGAATCACAGAGAGAGATATTAACTACAAACATCTGGCTTTAAGACTAGCACTGGAACCAGAGGAATAGCATCATCATCAAGGTAATTAAGGAAATGTGTAATTCTGATTTACAAAGTAGGCTGGAGTTTAGACAACTAATGATTTCTTAATGAACATGCATGAAAGTGGTACAGACAGAGCCCTTATGAAGGATAAAAAACAAACTTGTCAAATGGGAGTGCATGTGTGCATGCAAATGCGAGTGTGTGTGTGTGCGTGTCTTTGAGCATGTGTGTCTGTGTGTGTGTGTGTGTGTGTGTCTGACCTCGGGCAGCTGTGAGCGGATGTCCTCAGAGCCTATGAAGATGCTCTCCAGATGGGTCCAGGTACGCTGCACCTCGAACCAGATGGATATCACCCCGTCCGCCACTGACAATTTCCGTTGCCATGACGACACCTCCTCCAGGAAGTGGCCGATGTACTTGGAGGACATGAGGTTCTGCAGCTGCACCTGATTGTCCTCCAGGGTCTCAATCAGGTCCTCGTCCGAGCGCAGCAGGGGCACCAGGGTACGGTGGTGAGGCTCGTACTGGAACTGCATACCTGGAGCAATCAACCAATCAGTCAATCAACCAATCAGTCAATCAACCAATCAGTCAATCACAGATTAAACATGACTAGTACAGGAGTCTGATAAATGTCATGATTGAGCTCAGTTTCAGGGTATTCTGTACTGTACCGGTCCATGTAGAGTTGAGTTCAGAGAGCACCTTCTCCATTCCCATCTCTTTGACAGCCTTGTCCACGATGCCCCTCACCTCCTCCTCAAAGTTGTGCAGATTGAGCTGCAGCAGGTCCGCCAGTGTTGTCTCCTGGTCCATGGTGAAGCGCACCCCGGTGGCAGCCATGAGCTGGTGCCAGTGTCTGGCCCGTATGGCAGGGTTCTGGAGCTCTGCTACGGCCCTGAGGGAGGTCAGGAGGTTCTTTACCCTGCTGTCCAGACCTGAGAACGCCTCCCACGATCGCACCTAGGAGGAAGAAGGGTTTTTATGATACAGTTCAGCATTAACAGCCAAAAACACTGGCGGGAGAGGTGAGTGTCAGGAAAAAGTAAGGGAGAGGCAAGGTGTGAGAAATGTATTTGTTCTTTTACAATGGGTTTTTCTCTTTTTGATTGTGGCCAGAGTACAATCTGGAGTAAAATCCGCCCCAAAATGTGAAATCTGTTTATTTTTCTCCTCTCCTCTTTATACCCCTCTCCTCTTCTCCCCTCCTTTCTCCTCATCCTCATCTCTCCCCCTCACCTCTTTATCCAATGCTCTGATATCTTTATTGAAGAGTTTACACTCCAGTTCCATGTCCTCTATGTTGATGTCTCTCCATGGTGTGGTCCTCCAGGCAGCCATACTACTGTTTACTACAGCTATCATGTCCCACAGGTCCTTCAGCAGCACCACCTCACGCCTGGGGAACCACAGGATATAACAATCAGTCGGTCAGTCAGTACATCAATCAAACAATTGCATTAATATAGCACTTTTCACAAAAAATATTTTACACCGAGTTCTTTACAGTAACCCGGCCTGGATCTTCTAAGGGAAAACAGTAGAATGAAAAACTCCCTTGAAGGAAGAAACCTTGTGAGAAAAGAGTTTAGAAAAACTGAAAAAGTAGCCCTGTCTCACCTGCACTGTCGTAGTTGTCTGTAGTCAGAGACAGTCACCTCAAACAGGCTGGCAGACTCCACCAGCCCAGCCATCACAGTCTCCTTCTCCTGGATCTGTTTGTGGGATGCATTCAGCATGGCATAAGGCTTCTCACTGTCAAACCTAAAACACAGAGGGTTTTCACTGTAAAACCTACAAAAACAGAGTATTTACTGTCAAACCTACAATAACACACAGAGAAACCACACAGCAAGGTTACTCTCTCAGCATCTGATATGGTTTCACATTGATACTAAGTTAACCTGACATTATAAATGTATAGAAAAAATGTATGAAAAAAAATGTATGCACTCACTAACTGTAAGTTGCTCTGGATAAGAGCGTCTGCTAAATGACTAAAATGTAAATGTATTAACTACCAGGGAGAAAATCGATTTGAAAGCCCCTTGTGTAGAGGCTCTTACTGCCAAACCTACAGCCCACCAGCCTGAGCAACAGTCTGTTACTGTTTCAGCTGACTACTTTGTCAAGTCATGTTTGGTATGGAGGTTGTTTACTCAGGCCGACACCACACACACACAGTCAATTATAAACCCTGACATCAATGACATTAATGAGAAAATCATGTAATTACGGAGGAACGATTATGCGCATAATTCATTAGGTAATTAGACAGCATGATGGAGCGCCACTACCTGTGGGTAATTAGCATATGTAAAGATTCAATTATGCTTGCCTAATGTGTAAGCGTTGTGCCGTTAACTGTTCACTGCACAATTATAGACTGATAGATGTAGAGGTGTGACAGGAGGGACCAACAATCTGTGATCTTTGCAATGGTGGCCCATGACGGAGAGAAACCTGTCTTGCTTGCAGAAGGGTGTAAGCAATGTTTTTATGGCTCTACCTAGCCCTCTGGTTGGGGATGTGGACCCATAACCACATTGCTTACACCTATACAACCCTTTCAGATCAAATAGGACAAATGTCTAGGGGTAGGAGATACAGGACTGTTTAGGACTGAGGATTGAATGAGGACAGAAGGGAGGACAACTTTTTGTCTGCGAAATTCAGCCTGTGTGTGTGCAAGCACACGTGTGTCACCTGAAGGGCCCGTTCTTTCTGAAGCTCTCTCTGAAGGCGTGTTGCTCCACGTCGAAGGAGGCACACTTCCTGCGTAGTCCGGCCACCTCGCTGGCCTGTAGAGGAGCCACCTGCTGTTTCACCACCACCGCCTGCTTCTTCACGTTGGTCCACTTCTCTGGAAGCTCCTAGAGAGAGGGAGAAATAGATGATTATCAGGCATAGGAAGGAGGGAGAGGGGGACAACGTGTGATAAGTACCAGGAGGCAAGAGGGACAGAGACATGAGTAACTTTTCTGATAGCTCCTGGAGAGAGAGAAAGGAGGGAGAGAGGGAGGAGGAGGGAGGAGGATGAATACCACCAGAAGGAGCATAGAGGGAGTGGGACAAAACAGAGGGATGAGTGCCAAAAGGAAGGACAGAAGGGGACCGAGGAATGAGATGAGGAGGGAGGAGAGAGGGAGGAGTTTGATCGATTGACTTTGGACAAGGGTCACCTCTAGCTGTTTGTAGACCACGTCAGGCAGCTCCTGTTCGTAGGTCTTGAGCAGGGTAATGGTGTGTTGGAGCGGCTCAAACATGGCGTCCGTCCCGCCCTGCCTCTCCTTCACGGCCAGCAGGTGACCCATGACCCCCACCAGGCCACCGTAGTCGCCCTCCTCCACTCTGCGGCCCAGCCCCTGCTCTGCTAGACTGATAAACTCCTCCAGGTCTGACAGGCTAGAGAGAGAGAGAGAGAGAGAGAGAGAGAGAGAGAGAGAGAGAGAGAGAGAGAGAGAGAGAGAGAGAGAGAGAGAGAGAGAGAGAGAGAGAGAGAGAGAGAGAGAGAGAGAGAGAGAGTGTTACAGTTTTGAAATGTTTAAAAACAAGAGAGACAACATTAAGTAGAAGGATACTTTGACAGTGGTTTTCTCTGGAATCCTCTGGTTTCTGTCTATCTACCTGTGTGTGATAGAGTCTGCATACCTGTTTGTGACATGGTCTATGAGGTGTTGTTTGAACATGAGACTCCACTTCCTGACGATGTTGAGCAGGGCACTCTTAAAGGCCCGTCCGTCGACCCTCATCCACCCCTGGAACACACACACTGGCTCCAGACCCTGCACCTCCTCATGGATACGCTCGTACCTGGGGTTACACACACACACACAGAGAGTCATCATTACATACACACTTGCACACACACACTCAAAAACACACTATTTATCTCCCTTACCCATCCACCTGCTCTCTAAACTGCTCCAGTGTAGGTGGGTTCTCTGGGACTCCATCCTCTGCATGAGCCTCTATCTCCTGACTGGTCAGCACGTGGCCGTACAGCAGGAACTGACGCATAAACTCCTTCCTGTCGTCAACGTACAGGTATGCATAGCGCTCCAAAGAGTTACGGAACTCACAACACGTCGCCATGACGCCCTGCACACGTTCCATCAGTAGCTGACGCATGTCCGCCAAATCAGCCATGTCTTCCATATCAGCCTGATAGTGGACAGATTATAATTAGGTTATAGATGATAGAATATGGATTATAGATACAATACACATTATAGATTATGGGTTAAAGGGATACTGTGAGATTCTGGCAATTAAGCGTCAGATGAACTTGTGGATACCATTTGTATGTCTCTGTGTGCATACCTGTAGACTTCCAGTAATTGCACTAGTAAGCATTGGCTTGCGACGCTACCTCTAACTTCCTTGATACTGCACGCAGAGACATAAACAGGGTATCCACAAGTTCATCTGGCTCTGGGTAAATAGAACAATTAATTGCCAGAATCTCGCAGTATCCCTTTTAAGATGGATTATTGATCTCCGTCTTAATATTGGCCTTTGAGACAAACTTGGCATATAATAATAATACAGTATATTTCATGAGACCAACTTGTGTCTGAGCAGCATGAATATAAACAGCATGAATATAAACAGCATGAATGTAAACTGTTTGGCATAAATGTAAGGTTCCTAAATGTAGGTAACTTCCCCAAAATTCCCAGGTTCTCCAGAAATCCTGGTTATGTCCTCCTGATTCCAGGAACCTTCCAACTGGGATTTCTGGAAAACCGGGGAATTTGGGGAAAGTTATCGGAATTTTGCAACCATAGCAGTGTTGTAGTACCTGGTAGTGTGGGACGCTGCTGTGTGTGGCCAGGCGTGGCACCAGAGAAGAGGTCCTGTAGATGTCATTGACCAGGCTCTCCACCAGGTCATAGAAGCCATCGGCAGCGCCGTACTCCAGCGAAGGGTTAAACACCATGTCAGGGACCCTCAGGTCCAGCTGGGCCTCAAACAAAGGGGCCACACCACCACGTTGGTCTGAGGTGGGGAGAAGGGGTGTTTCAACAAAAATGAGTGAATCTCGTACAAAGTGCACGTCTTACATTCAGGAGGGCTCACAAGACTGTTAGTCAAACCAAGGCTGAGGTGAATACACAAATCATTCAAGCTGAACAGATCATTGCTCACCAGTGTTGTCGAGGAAGAACTTGAGGGAGCACTCGATGCTGTTGAAGAAGCCGTCTATGACCATGTCGTCTATGTACTCCACATAGGCTCTCCACTCCTCAGAACCTGGGTCTGCTCTGAACAACTCCAGGTTACTCTGTCACAGAATGGAGACACACACTCAACATCAAAGAATAACGTGTACACAGAAAATGCACCTTTGTTTTGTATAAAAAAATTAACAATGCACACCTTTTAACCCTTCACACTCGTGGGAATTGGCCTATATGGATAGGGCTAAATTTAAATGTTTCTTACATAAGAAATATGTAAAGCATATGCATAATCATAATAGCAATTGAAAGGGAATAGTTAGGAGTTCATGGGAAAATTATTAGACCAAAGTTGAGGAAACAACATTTCACCTGACACAAGATTGAATCCAAACATTACACTGTTGATTTTATGTGCATTTTACATTTACTGTACTTTTCGCAGCATTTGTTGATAACAACATCTGAAAATACTCTGGATACATTCAGTAACATAAGAATATTTCTGGGAAATGTGGGGTAGGTGCAACATAAGACAGAAAAATGACAAGGGTTTGAGTGAGAGGATTAACTGGTGTCTCCAAGTGGCCATGCACAGTTCCTAAGTAATTTCAATGCACTTTTATGGGTCAAAGAAGAGTCTTCAACTATAAGGTGCTTTTTTGAGCTCTCCTAGCTGTGCCGATGAGGAACTAGAGCAAGCACACTTGTAGTTGTTTTGTTTGGAACAGAACTCTGTATCCCTGCCATCACACAATTACTGTTGTTGTTTACGCAATCCAGAAACGGACCATTATATATCACAATCTGGGTCAGGTGGGCATCATTTGAAAGCCTGTTCTATTGCCAACATGACTAGTTAAGTTATAAAATACGATCTTACAGTGTTAGGCTTTCACAAGGCAATTCAGAGAAACAGATGGTAATTTTGGTGCGCATAGAAAGGAGTCATGAGTGCATTCAGGTGCGTGTGCCGCGGTGAATTTTCTTCACAATAGACAAACGTAGGCTCATTCTGTTCAGAACAACCATGTCATCTTGTAACTGTACATCAAACATAATGATCATAAACGTTGACACTGTATATGACATGTTTTATGATATGGAAATGTGAAGTGCACATTTGGACTCACGGGTGTTCGGCTTGTTTGTATGACATCAAATCAGTATTTATTATAATCCTCAACGTCTCATCTTTCAAAATAAATAGAGTCCTCTTAATTTACAGTATTTCCCTCACTCGGACAACAAAACATTTGCAAAAGTTGCCCAATTAGCGGGAGGGATGGGGGCAACTTCTTGTCGCGCTTATCAGTGCCCAAATCTGCCATTTTCAACCTGTATACGGGTACGATTGTAAAGGGTTAATGCTGACTAACACATAACTCCTAATATGTTCAATAAAGTTCCCTGCAAAGCCAGAAGTGTTTATGACTTTCATGTTATTTGGCATAGTCACCTTCAGCAAGAAGTGTATCTTCTCTCCGGAAGAGCGTATTTGGGCGTAACACCTCTCCAGCCTGTCAGCCCTGTCGTCCAGGCTGAGCAGGGTGTCTCTCTTGCCCTCCCGTCGGTCATAGAGGGGGCTGGCCCAGGCCCTCATACAGCCCTGGATCTCCTCCACGTGGTCCTTGGTCCTCTGGAGCCTCCTCTCCAGGTCACACACACACTCACTCACCTCCTGGATGTACTCCCAGATACCTGGTCACAAACAGGGGAAGGAAATGGACACACGTTAAAGGGCCATTACAGTTTCAAATCTACGTTTGTCAGAAAGTTTTCAGACCTCGAATGTAGAGTAATGTGAAAATGAAACAATGTCCCACAACTTCAGTTGTGTAGATCCAGCTACTCACCTCAATCCCTGAAAAACATCTGGCAAACTTAGATTTTAAAGTGTAATGTCCCTTTAATGAAAGGTGGTCAGGGTCAATTTGTTTTGTTCCAGTGTTTTCCCTGATCTACTCTTAAGCAGGGCACTGAGGCATCCGGTGTTGCCAACCCAACTTCTAGTCTGGGTACCAGTCTGTTTAGCTATCATTCCATTCCTTGCCACTCTTGTCATGCTAAACAATTGAAACGGAGTAAATGGAGTGGAATGTTAGCTAAACAGACTGATACCCAGGCTAGCCAACTCCATCTTCTACTAAAACCACGTGAAGTCTAAAAGTTAAATGATAGGGACACATAAATCTACCACAAACCAGGTTCTATATAACCCCTCTTTTCTTATTCTCCATAACTATCCTAAGTGCATCCAGTACAGTAAGAAGCACCAGAAGTTGACAGTAACATATTTCGCTCAAAGAGCTTCGACTGGAAAGAGGTCTCTGTCCCCTGACCCTGCCTACAGACAGACAGTGGAGTGCATTGGCATGTTCCATAAGAAATGTATATATATATATATATATATATATATATATATATATATATATATATATATATTTTTTTTTAAACATTTTTGTCATTTAGCAGACACTCTTATCCAGACTGACTTATAGTAGTGAGTGGATACATTTATTTTGTACTTTTTCGTACTGGTCTCCTGTGGGAATCGTACCACTTCCCTGGCGTTGCAAGCGCCATGCTCTACCAACTGAGCCACATGGGCTTCTCTACCCTGTCCTTCAGGAAGCTGTGGGTCCTACAGTAGGCACAACCGCAACCCTACCCTAACAACACTGTTTGAATCACACTGCATCAATGATTGAAACACTGTGGCTTAGTCATCTGTTCCAAACACATCTTCTCTCCTGGGGTGTCATGTCATGACACATCACAGTCAGTCCTGTCCCAGAACTGACAAGGATGGAGGGAACATCATGAAAAAGGCATGTGAGGAGAATATATGACTCCTGCAGTGACTGGTTACAGTAGAACAGTACAGTACTGTAGGCAAGCCAAATTGTGGACTGTTTTTGCTGAAGTTGAAACATTATGGCACCCATAATGCCCCACTTCCCCTGTAGTTTTGACCCATGACCTCTGACCTTGGCTGTTCCAGTTGATGTCCTCCTCTGCCTCTCTGAGGCGCGTGTCGATGTCTCTGAGCTGACCCTGGACCAGTGGGTGCTCCACCTCCAGCACCGTGCGCACCACCTTGTTGTATCTCCCCACAGTGAGCTCCAGGTTGGCTACGTACTGCCACAGCTGACCCCTTCTAGTGTACACCTGCTCTGCAGTGTCCGGGATTGCCTCTGTCTGCCTGGCCTCCAGGTACTTCACCTCTCTCAGGACTGAGACCAACTGGGGGAGGGACAGGGGTGACGTGGGGTTTCAGTGGGAGGAGGTAGGAGGAAGAGAGAGAGGGAGAGGTTGAGGGGGAGAGCGAAAATAACAAGTTAGCTGTAGCAACAATGTAATTTACCATAATGTTAAGTACAAGATCATTTTCCCCTAGCAGTACCTGTGGGTTGAAACTGACGGAGCTATGTTTATAGTACCTGTGGGTTGAAATTGACTGAGCTAAGTTTATAGTACCTGTGGGTTGAAATTGACAGAAATGAGGCGGGTAGCTGGGTCTCGGCTGACGAGGGGGAGGTTGAGATTGTACTGGGACTTCTCTCCCACCGTCTCAGTCCATACATCAAACAGCTGACGGGAGTAACTGGGGGAGGTAGTTGGTTAACAAAGTTAGTTAGTTTAACTCAACTCTGGACCTCGAAGCCAGTTCCACTGCTTTTTTTCATTGTTCCCCATCTAATCAGGGACTGATTTCGACCTGGGACACCAGGTGGATGCAATGAATGATCAGGTAGAACAGAAAAACAGCAGTCTCTGGACCTCGTAGGGTAAGAGTTGAATACCCCTGGTTTAGAGAATTAGTTGGTTGAGAGAGTTTCCCAACTCTGGTCCTCCAGTACCCCAAACAGCACACATTTTTTTGTAGCCCTGTACAAAAACACCTGATTCAACTTGTCAAGGGCTTGATGATTAGTTCACAAGTAGAATCAGGTGTGATTGTCCGGGGCCACAATACAAATATGTACTGTTGGGAGTACTCAAGGACCGGAGTTGGGAAACACTGGTTTAGAGAGTAAGTTAGTTGATCAATTCCTATAACACAGTTTCTGCTAAATAAGCTACTGCATATTTCAATAAACTGTAACAACAGACATTTGTTTCTCTAATGAGCCAATGTATTTAAAAAAAGATTGATCTTCAGCAACAAACAGAAACATGCAGCGAAAGCGATACCGACTGAAACAAAATGACAGTCCCTAGAGGATTGAGAATGACACAGACATATCTAATCAAATCAAATTATATTGGTCGCGTACACGGATTTGCAGATTTATCGCAGGTGCAGCGAAATGCTTGTGTTTCTAGCTCCAACAGTACAGTAATACAGAGCAATAAAAAAATTAAAAATACACACATAATTCAGAAAAATTAAGAAATTAAGAAATATCAGAACGAGCAATGTCAGAGACCGGAATATATATATTTATAAACTGGGTGGTTCAAGTCCTGAATGCTGATTGGCTGACAGCCATGGTATATCAGTATACCACGGGTATGACAAAACAATTATTTTTACTGCTCTAATTACGTTGGTAACCAGTTTATAATAGCAATAAGGCACCTCAGGGGTTTGTGGTATATGGCCAATATACCACGGCTAAGGGCTGTATCCAAGAACAGCCCTTAGCCGTGGTATGTTGGCCATATACTACACCTCCTCGGGCCTTATTGCTTAAATATACATTACTGTTCAAAAGTTTGGGGTCACTTAGAAATGTCCTTGTTTTCCATGAAAACATACATTAAATGAGTTTGAATAGGAAATATAGCAACATGAATAGGAAATGTAGTCATTGACAAGTTTAGAAATACTGATTTTTAATTGAAATAATAATTGTGTCCTTCAAACTTTGCTTTCGTCAAATAATCCTCCATTTGCAGCAATTACAGCATTGCAGACCTTTGGCATTCTAGTTGTCAATTTGTTGAGGTAATCTGAAGAGATTTCACCCCATGCTTCCTGAAGCACCTCCCACAAGTTGGATTGGCTTGATGGGCACTTCTTACGTACCATACGGTCAAGCTGCTCCCACAGCAGCTCAATAGGGTTGAGATCCGTTGACTGTGCTGGCCACTCCATTATAGACAGAATACCAGCTGACTGCTTCTTCCCTAAATAGTTATTGCCTAGTTTGGAGCTGTGCTTTGGGTCATTGTCCTGTTGTAGGAGGAAATTGGCTCCAATCAAGCGCTGTCCACAGGGTATGGCATGGCGTTGCAAAATGGAATGATAGCCTTCCTTCTTCAAGATCCCTTTTACCCTGTACAAATCCCCCACTTTACCACCACCAAAGCACCCCCAGACCATCACATTGCCTCCACCATTCTTGACAGATGGCATCAAGCACTCCTCCAGCATCTTTTCATTTGGTCTGTGTCTCACAAATGTTATTCTTTGTGATCCGAACACCTCAAACTTCGATTCGTCTGTCCATAACACTTTTTTCCAATCCAGTGTCTGTGTTCTTTTGCCCATCTTAATCTTTTCTTTTTATTGGCCAGTCTGAGATATGGCTTTTTCTTTGCAACTCTGCCTAGAAGGTCAGCATCCCGGAGTCGCTTCTTCACTGTTGATGTTGAGACTGGTGTTTTGCGGGTACTATTTAATGAAGCTGCCAGTTGAGGACCTGTGTCCTCTTGCTCAGTTGTGCACCGGGGCCTCCCACTCCTCTTTCTATTCTGGTTAGAGCCAGTTTGCGCTGTTCTGTGAAGGGAGTAGTACACAGCGTTGAACGAGATCTTCAGTTTCTTGGCAATTTCTCACATGGAATAGCCTTCATTTCTCAGAACAAGAATAGACTAACGAGTTTCAGAAGAAAGTTCTTTGTTTCTGGCCATTTTGAGCCTGTAATCGAACCCACAATTGCTGATGCTCCAGATACTCAACTAGTCTCAAGAAGGTTTTATTGCTTCTTTAATCAGCACAACAGTTTTCAGCTGTGCTAACATAATTGCAAAAGGGTTTTCTAATGATCAATTAGCCTTTTAAAATGATAAACTTGGATTAGCAAACACAACGTGCCATTGGAACACAGGACTGATGGTTGCTGATAATGGGCCTCTGTATGCCTATGTAGATATTCCATTAAAAATCAGCCGTTTCCAGCTACAATAGCCATTTACAACATTAACAATGTCTACACTGTATTTCTGATCAATTTGATGTTATTTTAATGGACAAAAAATTTGCTTTTCTTTCGAAAACAAGGACATTTCTAACTGACCCCAAACTTTTGAACGGTAGTGTATATACACATATAATGTTTTGTATGTAAACATTATTAAAGTGACCAGTGTTCAATGACTTGAATACAGTATGAAGTGGGTAAAACAGTTTGTAAACACTATTAAAGTGACCGGTGTTCTCTATATATATCAGGCAGCAGTCTCTAACGTGCAGGGTAGAGTTAACAGTGAATAAGGCTAGTAGTGACTGTTTAACAGTCCGATGTCCTGAAGGTAGAAGCTGTTTCTCAGTCTGTCGGTCCTGGCTTTGATGCACCTGTACTGTCTCTGCCTTGTAGATGGTATGGCTCGTGTGGCTGAAGTCGGGTGGCTGATTTTATTTATTGAATCTCTCACCTACACATGGAGTCTAGTAATGGAAGAGGAACATACTGTAGGGGACGACTAAACGGATTAATTCACTACAGAGAACAGACAATATGTCAGGCTCCTGGACGGCTGTACCAATCTGTAAATATACCGATTATGGTGAGGGCTTTAGAGCACTGAGGTCCTTATTTGATTCCTGCTGATGGTTCATCTCCTGAGTGTGGCACAGCAGACGCCGAGGCAATCAAACGCCTGGGCTAAAGCTATAAATCACAGTGTTTAGTGTGAGCGTAACGACTGTGTGTGTGTACGTGTGTGTTTGTGTGAATGCCTTTAATAGCTCTTACTGGAATATGTAAGCAGCGCTGGTGATTACAACAGTATAACAAGGTCCCTAAAGTCTGACATCAGTGAGCAGAGGGCAGGGGACACGTTGTTCATCGTCGTATATTAGACTGGGTGCAGGGACAACAATAGCCACTAAAAAATATATATATGGAACATGAAAAAATATTTCTGCTGAGGCGCATTTTGAAGATGCTAGAACATTCCACATGTACTTTTCCTCTGCAAACAAAACGAGTAATTAATAGAAAAATCGAACAACCCCACAGTAGAATAGTTTATCTATTTACCTAGTCAGCTTGTTGTTGTGTTCTATGCTAGATAAATATTCCTCTCGTGCCACAGTGAGGGAAACATGCATTCTGACAAGCAGTCAATGCACAACAATTCTTGCAATCGCGAAAACAGCTGTTTTAATTGCTTTTGTTAAAAAGAGGGGAATCCCAGCTTTCCATTCTTACTTTATTTATTTCTCAAATCCTAAATATGCGCGAAATGCGCCATTTTAAACCCGCAATTCGCAGCGAGTGCATAGGGGAGAGTGGGGCTAAATGTAACACCGGTCAATTGTATTGTGACTTGGGGTACAACGCCTCCTTTCACTACCTCAAAATCATTTATTTGGAAATGACTTAAAAAATTGTGATGAGACAGATAATATTTTTTGTTGACCAAGAGTAGTGGAAACCAGGGAACGTGTTGGGGGGGAAATTGTGACATGAAGTGGTTTCTGTGAGAAGTACAGGCAGGGGGCTTTTTTCCCCATGTGGTGAGTTCCCCTAAGTTCCCCTAACAGGTAGGCCTACATTATATTCATTGGAAGTTCATATGGAAGTTTTTTGGGACATAAACCCCCTCCACCACCTTTTCCCACCACTCCTTTTCCCACCACTCCTTTTCCCCCCACTGCTACACATTTCTCCAGAGGAAACACTGGGTGATATTGCACATTTGACGCACAGGAATGTGAGTGGTTATGTGTATGTGCGCATATCAAATCAAATCGTACTTGTCACGTGTCGAATACAAAAAGTGTTGACTTTACCATGAAATGCTTACTTACGAGCCCTTTCCCAACAATGCAGTTAAAAAGTAAGAAAATTAACAAATACATACAAAAAGAAAATAGTAACACAATAAAATAACAATAATATGCACACACACACACACACAGAGAACATAATTTAAACCCAATAGGATGCTTTGTCTTGCAGGTTCCTATGTTGGATGTGTTGTGTTGGGCCATTGCTCACAGGGTATTAGTATGATGAGACAAAGCATATGAGATTATGAGAGCTCTGTGAAATAATCCACAGAACCACACTGCCACAATGAGAACATAAATCACGACTGGCGCTCCATGTCTCCATGCTATTCCACTGTGGCCCTGCCTTCCATAAATGTAATCCACTACACTGACTTACACTAGAAAGAAATGCTGGATTTCTATAAAGCTTACAGGATAAAAAAAATAATAATCACATTTCAATAGAGTTGTTCAGAAAGTGGAAGCAGAACAGATCTCGTAGGGAAAGGGTTGTATAAGATACTGTATCTGTATTTTTGCTTAGAAGAAATATACTAAAAAGGAAGTTGGAAGTCATAGAGATATAATAGTTAAAATACCTATCCAGTAACTGCATCATCTCCTCATACTTCTGTATGGCTCTTTCTCCCACTGTAGACTCCAGACACCTGAGAGGAAACCACACACGCAGAGGCTGAACTTCTGCTAAGCTAATACTGGTACAATCTCCAGCAGCAGAATCTAATGGGTAAAGTAGAGATGCAGGGTGAGAGAGGAGACTCACGGGTAGGTGATGTATCTGAACATGGAGAAGGGAATCTGGATTCTCTCCTGTAGTTGCTGAGCCCACCTCAGACCTCCTGCTACAGCTGGCATGTTCCTATTCACAGGAGTGTAACCTGGAGGGATGGAAACACACACATTGTAGAACTAACTAGAGAGGTAAAGGTTCTGGGGAAACAGTGGCACGTGGCAGCAGTTTTTTTAAATGATAATAGTAGCAGTAAACTAGTAAACAGTCAAACGTTCATCATAGCAAGAGTGTTGATGATTTCTTTACATGTATTACTTTGGTACGAAATTATGATATAAAATGGTATGGGTTAAAAGCAAGGTATTTTACCCAGTTCCTCCTCTGTGTGTGTGTGTTTGTTGAAGAGCAGTTTGCAGCAGTCTAGCTCTCTGTCAAACAGGCTGATAAGGAGAGGATATCTGTCCAGAGCATCCGCTGCCACAAGGGGGCGGTCTAACAGGCTGCCAAACATATCCAGCACCTGTAGGGAGGACAGTAGGGTATCAGTGTGTGTGTGTGTGTGTGTGTGTGTGTGTGTGTGTGTGTGTGTGTGTGTGTGTGTGTGTGTGTGTGTGTGTGTGTGTGTGGTGTCTGTGCGTGTGTAGCCCCTCCTCACCTTGAATGCGTGCTCCAGTCCAGATGCATCATCGAAGGCCTGACAGAAGACTGCTCCCAGACGACGGTCTGTATCCTCCACCTTATATCTGAACTCACACACGTCTGCCTCAAACTCCTACATTGAGACACACACACAGTCAGATAGATAGGTTGACAGCCCTTTCAATACCTTTTTGAGAGCCCTTTTAGACAGCCCACAAAAAAATTGCTTCAGTTTGCTACAGATGTGTTTGGCCAATATTGACCATATCTGCTGTTACAGTAGAATATTATTAACTTAATCTGGGTCCATTGAACTGCCCCTTGTTCCCATATTCCTTCTCCATTATAGTGTAACGCAGGGATCATTAACTAGATTCAGCCGCGGGCTGATTTTTTCTTGAGTGGATGGTCAGGGGGCCGCAACATAATTACAAATAATTAGCAAATTGACCACAAGAAGCCCAAACAGATATAATTTTTGACTAAAACATAATAATTTCAAACCTTGCTTACATTTGTATATGATCACATATATCTCTGCGTGGGAATTTCCAAAAGTAAAATCAATTGGAACTGAATTTCTGGTGTTTTTACAGTCTTTATGTCCAACAAACTATCTTATTTATTTTTGCTCCGAAAACTTTGGGCCGTGGGCCAAAATCTGTCCGCGGGCCGCCAATTCGGGAACCCTGCTGTACCGTATTGTTGACGTCGAGGCAGTCGTAGGGCTTCTCAGTGAGGACTTTATATGTGTCCAGGAACTCCTGGTGGAGCCACAGGACCTGCTGGCTGAGAGCTCTGCCTCGGATGCCTCCAAACTCCACCTTCTCCAGCTTCAACAGGTCTACTGCTGTCAGCAGGACATACTACAGACAGGGACAGAGAGGGACAAACACAGACCCTGTTAAACGTCAAGCATTTAATGTACTGTATTGGCTGTGGATATGGTGTTTATGGTAAACAGTAGGCTTGGGCAGTATACACGTATACCAGGGTATTTTGAAATATCGACCGTATGATTTTCAATACCGTCAAAAAAATTACATTATAATAATTGGTTTGGGGCGCTCTAAAGCTCAGGAGGGGGGGGGGGGGGGGGGGGGACGGACTAATATGTGATAAATAAATGATCTCCAGCTCAGGGCTCCAGCTATGGAATTGGTTTGCTAACTTGTTAGCTAAGTGGATAGCTTGCAAGACCAAGCTTCTTGGTTACAGCAGAGACAATCAATCCCCTCCTGGATCAATACTTTTTTTTCCTACTTTTGGGGGGTTTGGAAAGAAATAGCGCCCCTTGTCTGCACTGCCGGTAATACCTTATACCACAGTATGGTACAGGAACAGTATGAAGGTCAAGCTTAATACCGCCCAACCATAGTACACAGTGTGTTTGGCTTATTAATGTGTGTTTGGACTGAATAAATATGAATACTGATATCTGTACAATATTGATGTATGTAGGGTGTAATTTTACTCATTTTGATGTGTTTCAATATTTCATACATTTTTCTAAAGGAAATTAAAAATTAAAAAAGAGACAAAAGGAAAAGAAATCCAGTTTTTATTCATTGATCCGCACCTCAATGGTTTTGACCCGGTCGATGAAGCGGTCAAGGCCAGAGAAGACCATGAGTGGGTTGAAGTCCCACGGTCGGACTTCCCTGCCGTTCCTCTGGTACTGGCCCAGACTGGCCCTCTTCTCCTCATATGTCAGTCTGAAGGTGTTTAGGATGTCCAGGGAGGTCTGGACCTTCAGCAGGCTCTCAGACACGTCTCCCTTCAGCACCTCCTCTGGGCTCAGATACACCCGCGCCTGAAGTGGATGAGAAATCAGAGTTTGTGATGTCAAATGAACATCATATCCATAGATATACAGTACCAGTCAAAAGTTTGGACACACCTACTTATTCCAGGGTTTTTCTTAATTTTTTACTATTTTCTACATTGTAGAATAATAGTGAAAACATCAAAACGATGAAATAACACATATGGAATCATGTAGTAACCAAATAAGTGTTAAACAAATCAAAACATATTTTAGATTTGAGATTTTTCTAAGTAACCACCCTTTGCCTTGATGACAGCTTTAAACACTCTTGGCAATCTCTCAACCAGCTTCATGAGGAATGCTTTTCCAATAGTCTTGAAGGAGTTCCCACATATGCTGAGCACTTGTTGGCTGCTTTACCTTCACTCTGCGGTCCAACTCATCCCAAACCATCTCAATTGGGTTGAGGTCGGGTGATTGTGGAGGCCAGGTCATCTGATGCAGCAGTCCATCACTCTCCTTCTTGGTCAAATAGCCCTTACACAGCCTGGAGGTGTGTTTTGGGTCATTGTCCTGTTGAAAAACAAATTATAGTCCCACTAAGCGCAAACCAGATGGGATGGCGTATCGCTGCAGAATGCTGTGGTAGCCATGCTGGTTAAGTGTGCCTTGAATTCTAAATAAATCACTGACAGTGTCACTAGCAAAGCACCTCCACACCATCACACCTCCTCCTCCATGCTTCTCCACATGCGGAGATCATCCGTTCACCTACTCTGCGTCTCACAAAGACACGGCGGTTGGAACCAAAAATCTCAAATTTGGACTTATCAGACCAAAGGACAGATTTCCACCGGTCTAATGTCCATTGCTCGTGTTTCTTGGCCCAAGCAAGTCTCTTCTTCTTATTGGTGTCCTTTAGTAGTGTTTTCTTTGCAGCAATTCAACCATGATTCACGCAGTCTCCTCTGAACAGTTGATGTTGAGATGTGTCTGTTACTTGAACTCTGTGAAGCATTTATTTGGGCTGCAATCTGAGGTGCAGTTAACTCTAATGAACTTATCCTCTGCAGCAGAGGTAACTCTGAGTCTTCCTTTCCTGTGGCGGTCCTCATGAGAGCCAGTTTCATCATAGCGCTTGATGGCTTTTGCGACTGCACTTGAAGAAACTTTCAAAGTTCTTTACATTTTCCGGATTGACTGACCTTCATGTCTTAAAGTAATGATGGACTGTCATTTCTCTTTGCTTATTTGAGCTGTTCTTGCCATAATATGGACTTGGTCTTTTACCAAATAGGGCTATCTTTTTTATACCACCCCTACCTTGTCACAACACAACTGATTGGCTCAAACGCATTAAGAAGGAAAGGAATTCCACAAATTCACTTTTAACAAGGCACACCTGTTAATTGAAATGCATTCCAGGTGACTACCTCATGAAGCTGGTTGAGAGAATGCCAAGAGTGTGCAAAGCTGTCATCAAGGCAAAGGGTGGCTATTTGAAGAATCTCAAATATAAACTTTTTTGGTTACTACATGATTCCATATGTGTTATTTCATAGTTTTGATGTCTTTACTATTATTCTACAATGTAGAAAATAGTAAAACAATAAAGAAAAACCCTTGAATGAGTAGGTGTGTCCAAACTTCTGACCGGTAGTGTACATGTACATATTACCTCAATTACCTCGACTAACCTGTACCCCCACACATTGACTCGGTACCGGTAACCCTGATAAAGTAATCCTTCTGGATAAAGTAATCCTTCTACCCCCCCCCCCCAAAAAAAAATTGTAAAGTGGTTATCCCACTGGCTATAGGGTGAATGCATCAATTTGTGAGTCGCTCTGGACTAGAGCGTCTGCTAAATGACGTAAATGTGCCCTTGAGCAAGGCACTTAACCCTAATTGCTCCTGTAAGTCGCTCTGGATAAGAGCGTCTGCTAAATGACTAAAATGTAAATGTAAATGTAATGTATATAGCCTTGTTATTGTTATTTTATTGTTGCTCTTTTATTTTTTGCTTTAGTTTATTTAGTAAATATTTTTCTTAACTCTTATTTTTCTTAAAACTGCATTGTTGGTTTAGGGCTTGTAAGTAAAAATTGATTTGATTTGGTAATTTTTTCAATTTTTTCATTGTTTTTCAATGTAACTGGAGAATATGTTACATTTCCGCAAAATGGATGAAAAGTGCTTCATAGAGTTATTATTACCACCACTATTACATGATTGACTCATGTACCTGTTGAATGAGTAGATTACATGTCTCCTGTAGCAGGACGATGAGGCGTGCTGGGGTGTTGTAGTAGCGTGAGTTGGACCACACCAGACACACAACGTGCATCAGAGGCCCGATCTGACCCTTGACCTCAGGGAACTCCACATTCTCCAGGTCCTCAAAGAGACGCTGCAGCGGACGAAGGTACGTACAAATGTCCTTAGCTTCCTCTAGGGCTGGGGCACACACAAACACACACACACAGACATACACAGAATCAGAACACACAAGTTCAAGTTTACTATATTATAATACAATAGGCCAATCCAGGGTCCCCAATCCCTACAGACACAAAGATAGTAGAAAGCTTGCATGGGGTCTTAGTTTTAGTAGCACCTAGTTAACACCTCCGATACAGCATAAACATTAGTTGAACCCACAGTGCGGTTTTACTTTATCGGCGATGGGTTAAAATGGGGCTTTAGTTTACCTGCTAGGACGTCCTGTAGCATGTCGTTAAAGGCAGGGTAGTAGCTGCTCTCCATAGCATCCAGCATCTCTGCCATCTTGGTCACCTTGGAGGACTTGAACTGAGAGTGGATGCACTCCAGGTCTGCATATCTACACAGAGAAGTTCATTGGAGTGAAACAAGTAGTGCCATATACATTTGTTTTTATATGCATACATATCGAAATATATTAGTTTATGGATGGGTCACTTAAAAAAATTAAATCAGACTGTTTCCTGCCTACTGAGCATGACACACGGCTATGGCATATAGTGTAGGCCCACTACAGTACTGACCTGCTCCTCCAGAAGTTGAGCTCAGTGTGTGGTGTAGGACTCTTTCCCTCCAGCAGAGGCTCAGACGAGTCCTTCTTCAGAACCCCACGGATCTGGTGGCTCCACTCTATCACCACTGACTCGATGGCATGGATGATGCTCTTGCCCACTACGTCTCCCCTGTAGGCAGAGATAACATGGGTTAGATAGGGGTTTGTGACTGGGGTTAGGGGTTAGGGGTTAGGTCTGGGTTAGGGTAGCCTAAGAATCTGGTGACTCCACCTGAATAATAAAACATGTTGATATCTATCAAGTCTGGGGAAATCCAGGTGTATATGTTATAACACGTCTATATATTTGAACACTAATGTTATTACACGTTATAATGCATAACTCTACTGTGTTGTAATGTCCTGTTATAATATGAGACAGCAGGTCATTTATGTTACCTCTTGTCCCTCTCCAGGGCAGCCTGCTCCACTCTCTCTGCCCCAGGTGGTAAAGGCAGCAGAGTCTTGCCTTTCACTTGGCCAGACACCACAAACACATTGGTCTTCAGGGAATGAACATGGCGCTGAATGTCCTGGGATACCACCTGAGGCCATTCACTATGGTTCCTGCTGTTGGACAGCAATGGGACAACAACCTGAAAGGAATAAGGGGGAGAATAAGAATCACATTAACTTTATCACAGTAAAGAGTTTTACAAACTAATGTATAATAATAGCTATTATTCAGTAATTTCGTTACCTAAAAATAATATGAGATGCCTATGTAAAGTATTGTCGTTGATTTTAGTTCAATCGTTTCAATCGTTTGTAACATACACACAACTGTTATATATGAGCTGTCCTGCGCAGTGAGCATAACTTTAATTATTACCTCCTCCACTAGTGCAGAAAACTGGTCAAGCGGCGCGTAGGACAAGTCTCCATATACCAAATGACTTTTCATTGAGTCAGGTGTTAGAGCTGTTTTGCTTCTTTTGACGAAGTAAACAGCCTTGTTTTTAACAGTCGCTGGAAACCCGACAGTGGGCAGCAAGTGGCCAGCTGCATTCAGAGACACGACCAGTGTAATTTGGTCGGGTTTGTCCAGGAACTCCTGAATAACGTGCTTGTTGTCATCGGTGGAAATACATTTCTGCCACCGGTCAAGCTTCAGTTTTAAAGTTTTCAACACATACTTCTCTATGAATTCGAATCTCCTGTCCTCCGCCGGAGAATCTTCCATTTTCGACCTGTTCTAACGTTCCGGTCCTCCTCAGCTCTTCAGCCCACTGCCAGTGACCCGGTGGCGTGAGGGGGTTTGTGTATAAAGTGATTGTCCCCTGGCCTCCATAGTAACGCTGTGTTTGCATTAATGAACCATCCGTTGCTTGGGGTACAAAAGCTACCTCTAGGCTCTGACCCATGTCATTCTTCCAGATAGGTTAACTTGGTAACTAGTCGCGCTTTCTGTTTGTGTGCCGACTTCTCAAGACAGAGGATAATATTATTTAGCCTACATGAGACGCATTGCAACAGGTGACAAACTATGGTAAAAAGTTCTGCGCAAAGGAAACATGCACGGTAGTCTACAACCACACCATTTCAAAGAAAATAATTTCAGTCTCCAATCTTAGGCCTTGTATTAGCCTATCCCACATTTTTGCAATTTAGAGTATAATGTTGAGCAAGACGTTAGGCCCATAGACTGACAATTTATCTCATACCAAATACAGAAACATGCAATGGCCAATAGCTGCCACAAAGTGGCACCAGTGGAGTACAAACCGCAACCCTAGTAAACCTCATCCAACCCCTCCAGTGACCTCTTTATTAAGGGTGAAAGCTGGCCCTAACCAATAGCTGACCCCAATAAAGCATGACCTTATTTGGGAACTTTATTTAGGTTTTACGTTTCTATTTACTTTGACGTATAAAGCACATCAAGCAAGCCTATCTCCTTGTGAAAATAGTATGAACATAATATTTTGAAGCTTTAAAGACTGATTAATCTAAAAGCAAATGGGACATAAAAGCATTGGCCATAAACACTAAATAATGCACTACTACTACATTCATTATACAGTATCTGTTATGTACTTTCTCTGTTCCTGATTAAAAAGATCAAACCACCAATGAACAGTTTGTGTTTTTCATATCTTTCTGTCATGTACAGTAAATACCAGCAATCCCAACATCATGATGATACACATGTCAAATCTGGCAAAAGAAAACAGAAAGTGTTTATTATCATTCAGGGTTCTGATGTGGGGATGAAATAAAAGCATTATCAGCAGCATAACATCAAATATTTACCTTTGTCCTCTTTTGTCCACTTGAGTAAACAACATAGACCTCCATAGGAGAGAAAGGGGGAGGGAGAAAGAGAGAGAGAGTGTGTGTGGGTGAGTTTGTCTGCGCGAGTGTGTGTGTGTGTTTGTGTGCTGGGAACCCATCGACCAAGGAGTCTCAGTTCCTCTCCCTCTTTGAAGATTAGCATGACAGACCAAAGGCAACGACCAGACCAGCCCAGGGTCCGGCTTTCCATTCCACAATCAAAGAGGCTCTTCGTCACTGATACAAGAGAGCTGTTGTTAACAGCTAGCCGGGTGGCTATCCGTTCATATGGTTATGTACACTACCACTGATGCCTCTGTGTCTGAGCCACTGTGGGATTATTCATCTTTACAAAATAAACAAATAAAGATGACATGCATCCACATATAGGAGTATTTATTTTTTATTTTATTAGTCCCAAAGCACATTAAATCATATAATAACTGATTGACAATAACTGTTGATATAACTGGGTACACACTGCCATGTTACAACCCTCAGCTAGCTATAAGCCTCAACTAAAAAGCAGTACAGAAAAAACAAAGAGAAGTAAAAATATAAGCTATGATCATATACCTGAGAATAAACCCATCTCCTAAATCTGTTTACTCTCTGCCCCATCAGACTTGACTTTACCATGCTACGTTCACCCAATAATGGCATCATCTCAAACATTGTAAAAAGGTATAAAAAGGTATTTATGGACTCGTTAACATTCTTTGGTTTAGCATCAGATGTTTGGTGGTCTTCTCTGTTTCCTTTTCCTTTATTGCTTTCAGATGTGTGTAAGACCTTTGTTTAGGAATGGAGTGAAACTGAAGTTGATGATCTTTGCACTGTCCCATATGTAACATAGTTTGGTGGTGATATTATGCCATCATATAATTAAGCAATAAGGCCCGAGGCGGTGTGGTATATGGCCAATATACCACGGCTAAGGGCTGTTCTTAAGCACGATGCAACGCAGAGTGCCTGGATACAGTCCTTAGCCGTGGTATACTGGCCATATACCACAAACCCCTTGGGCCTTATTGCTTAATTATATAATGGCATAATATAAACTGGTTACCAAAGTAATTAGAGCAGTAAAATACATATTTTGTCATACCCGTGGTATACGGTCTGATATACCACGGCTTTCAGCCAATCAGCATTCAGGGCTCGAACACCCAGTTTATAATATACAGTGATGTAACCTACAAGTAAAGAGTAAAGAGTGAGTGACTACAGATTTTAAAACAATTCTACAATTTCCATTTATTTTTGATAGCATTACCCTCCTACGATCCCTGGGACCACCCATACGTGAAAATGCACACTTGACTGTAAGTCGCGTTGGATAAAAGCGTCTGCTAAATGGCATATTATTATTATTGTTATTACCTCCTTGCAAATACATTAACATCCAAACACATTAATATTACTTATATTTAACATTTCTTAGATATTTCTTAGAATATACTGACACATTGATTTATTGTGGATATCACACCAACGGTTGGAATTACCATGAATCCTCCCACTAACTAGACCAGTGAGATGATGAGGAGACCCAGCAGAAGAGGGAGAGAGCTCAGTCTCATCCCCATGGCTTTGTTACACAGACTCCCCTTACAGCAGTTGAGGTTAGTCTGGGTGGGCATCTCAGACCAGAGGCATGAGTCACTGGAGGCACAGCCCCCATAAATGGTGCCTTTTCCCCCATCAGGAGTGGGCTCTGGCAACATGCAAAACAAAAAAAATACTCTAAAACATGTCTTGTTGTCAATGTCTCTTTGAAAATCTATAAATAAAGTATTAAAATAATTATAACGTGTCACGTCTAATGGGATTTCATGCCAATGAAAATGAACTCACCTTTATATTTGAAGCAGTGGTCTTCAATTCCAACGCATTGCAAAACTTCATGAGTACCATTCACCCAGGTGTGACAATGTAGGTTATTGGGCTTGTCACTGAGGGCTGCACAGATCACAGATTAACAACTATGTCATTAAATAACAACCTACGCAAACTAATAAATATCAAGCGTTGCTTTTCTCATACTAGACCATCAATGAAAAGCTGAGAGCTTGTAAATTTGACTAGATGTATGTTCTTACCAGGTAGGGTGTCTAAGTTGCAGCCTGTCGTGTTGCAGCAAAATGAAGATTGGGAAGCTTGTGAGTATCCGTCGCTCAGTGACAGTTTTGTTATTTTATCCATGAAATAACAGTTTTTGGCTACATATGTACAACCCTTAGATACTCTGATGGAATCTGAATTTGATGGAGAGAGAAGAGGTTAAAAATCCTTCACAATGTAAACTGTAACAATGGTGCAATTGTACATTTGAAATATAAAATAAAAATATATTGGGGAAAAAAATACTTCACAATGTGTAATGAGTCTGGAATTTATCACAACCCTTCATTACAACAACAGACTCAACTCCATACTTACCTGAAGGATCATCTACGCTTGTGAAGGTGGAACATACTGCTCTCACACAGTTCTTTAATATTGCTGTCCGACAGTGTTCATCCTCAGGCTCACAAGTGTAGCACTGGAGCATGTCAGCTAGAAACCAAAACACCCAAGATTATGAAAAAAAGAGACATATATCTCAATATTGGTCGATCATTAAACAAATAATTAACCAAACACATCAATTGTGATCGTCATCATGTTATTATACATTCAAATTGAACATAACTGCTATATGTCAAAATAAGGTGTACATATGGATATGTTGGATCTACTAACAAATATGTAAGAACCAATCTACATAAATTCAGTAAGTTACCTGTGTAGAACAGTGTGAAGGTGCAGGAGATTGTCAGAATGAGCCTCATCGTGGATAGATAGACAGCTATGAGGTACAACTGAGATCCTTACTAATCCAGCTGTCTCTCAGCCTATTCAAACCATTTCTTATCCACATAAGTTAATCATTCATTTCCCAAATCCCCCAAATGTATCAGGTACAGTCCTGTTATCATGTGACATTTATCTCCATGTTTCCAAGGGTTGGTTGGTTTATCATAGTAGACACAATGGTCTGCCAAACAAAATATACACAATTTGCTCAACACATTTGCTGCTGACACTGCGTCCTTTTTGTGTGAATGTCACCTTTGCATTCCTTTATGTGCTCACAGTAAGGTCAAACTGGAACAAATCATGTTATTTAAAAAAATAAATTCATATACAGTGGCTTGCGAATGTATTCACCCCCCTTGGCATTTTTCCTATTTTGTTGCCTTACAACCTGGAATTAAAATTGATTTTTGGGGAGTTTGTATCATTTGATTTACACAACATGCCTACCAATTTGAAGATGCAAAATATTTTTTCGTGCAAAACAAACAAGAAATAAGAGAAAAAAACAGAAAACTTGAGCGTGCATAACTATTCACCCCCCCAAAGTCAATACTTTGTAGAGCCACCTTTTGCAGCAATTACAGCTGCAAGTCTCTTGGGGTATGTCTCTATAAGCTTGGCACAGCTAGCCACTGGGATTTTTGTCCATTCTTCAAGGCAAAACTGCTCCAGCTCCTTCAAGTTGGATGGGTTCCGCTGGTGTACTGCAATCTTTAAGTCATACCACAGATTCTCAATTGGATTGAAGTCTGGGCTTTGACTAGGCCATTCCAAGACATTTAAATGTTTCCCCTTAAACCACTCGAGCGTTGCTTTAGCAGTATGCTTAGGGTCATTGTCCTGCTGGAAGGTGAACCTCCGTCCCAGTCTCAAATCTCTGGAAGACTGAAACAGGTTTCCCTCAAGAATTTCCCTGTATTTAGCGCCATCCATCATTCCTTCAATTCTGACCAGTTTCTCAGTCCCTGCCGATGAAAAACATCCGCACAGCATGATGCTGCCACCACCATGCTTCACTGTGGGGATGGTGTTCTCGGGGTGATGAGAGATGTTGGGTTTGTGCCAGACATAGCGTTTCTTTGATGGCCAAAAAGCTCAATTTTAGTCTCATCTGACCAGAGTACCTTCTTCCATATGTTTGGGGAGTCTCCCACATGCCTTTTGGCGAACACCAAACGTGTTTGCTTATTTTTTTCTTCAAGCAATGGCTTTTTTCTGGCCACACTTCTGTAAAGCCCAGCTCTGTGGAGTGTACGACTTAAAGTGGTCCTATGGACAGATACTCCAATCTCCGCTGTGGAGCTTTGCAGCTCCTTCAGGGTTATCTTTGGTCTCTTTGTTGCCTCTCTGATTAATGCCCTCCTCGCCTGGTCCGTGAGTTTTAGTGGGCGGCCCTCTCTTGGCAGGTTCGCTGTGGTACCATATTCTTTCAATTTTTTTATAATGGATTTAATGGTGCTCCGTGGGATGTTCAAAGTTTCTGATATTTTTTTATAACCCAACCCTGATCTGTACTTCTCCACAACTTTGTTCCTCACCTGTGTGGAGAGCTCCTTGGTCTTCATGGTGTGCTTGCTTGGTGGTGCCCCTTGCTTAGTGGTGTTGCAGACTCTGGGGCCTTTCAGAACAGGTGTATATATATACTGAGATCATGTGACAGATCATGTGACACTTAGATTGCACACATTATTTAACTAATTATGTGACTTCTGAAGGTAATCGGTTGCACCAGATCTTATTTAGGGGCTTCATAGTTATTTATTTTTTAGAATTTTTTGAAATAAGTTATTTTTTTCATTTCACTTCACCAATTTGGACTATTTTGTGTATGTCCAATACATGAAATCCAAATAGAAATCTATTTAAATTACAGGTTGCAATGCAACAAAATAGGAAAAATGCCAAGGGGGATGAATACTTTTGCAAGGCACTGTAGACTCTATTTTCACAATGGTCAATTACTTGATCTACACTGAGTGTACTGAGTGTACAAAACATTAGGAACAACTTTCTAATATTGAGTTGCACCCCATTTTTTCTCTCAGAACAGCCTCAATTCATCGGGTATGTACTCTACAAGGTGTTGAAAGAATTCCACAGGGATGCTAGCCCATGTTGACTCCAATGCTTCCCACAGTTGTGTCAAGTTAGCTGGATGTCCTTTAGATGGTGGACCATTTTTGATGCACACGGAAAACTGTTGAGCGTGAAATACCCAGCAGCGTTGCAATTTTTGACACACTCAAACCGGTGCACCTGGCACCTACTACCATACCCCATTCAAGGGCTCTTAAATATTTTGTCTTGTCCATTCACCCTCTGAATGGCACACATACACAATCCATGTCTCAATTTTCTCAATGCTTAAAAATCATTTTTAACCTGTCTCCTCCTCTTCATCAAAGTGACATCAATAAGGGATCATAGCTTTCACCTGGATTCACCTTGTCAGTCAATGTCATGGAAAGAGCAGGTGTTTCTAATGTTTTGTAGACTCAGTGTATATCCAGGATGCTGCTCCAGACTCCAGACAGACACACCTGTTGAGTCAAGCCCTCTCAGGACACACTCCCTCATTCAGGTATGAATAAACCACAGGGTTTTTTAGTAGTTTATGTATTATTAGGACCACTCTTAGCCGACCAATGGCTAGTCTTCCAAGAGTACTTTAAAGTGTAAAAATCATTCCGAAAATGTAAAACAAACATAAACGCAAATTAGGAAACAAGATGAAACCCACATTGTTATTAACTATACATAGCATGGGTTACCCCATCACTATGGCCCTGATTCCCACCTGAGTTAAGTGTCCGTAAATGGAACGTAATTCCCTTTTATGCACTTTTCTCTTCATGTGTATTCTGACCTTGAACTTAAGCATGAGAATAGTGTGTTATTCACCCGGTGTTCATTTAGGGTGGAGATCGAATAAATGAAGGTGTGGCGGAGGTGTGTCTACAGATTGTATTCTGTATTCTACAGATTGTATTCTGACCTTGACTTAATTCCCTAGTAATTCCACCCACTTTCCGCTCAAGGAAAACATGAATAAAGTCTAGCGAACCTATCGGTTCCAAGTGGAAAAAGCATCTACTTAATTTTTTCTGATAGAAGTAAAACCATTCTTCATGCACTGTGATTTACAACTTGATAAGAGCTATTGATTATCACATACATGCCCTTATGTCAGTCATCAGTTAAAAAGAGGCTGTCTTGTCCTGCTCCTGAAATCTGTCATCAGCAAAAGAGCATTGGGGTAGGTGCATGTCTGACATCAATGTGTACGCAATTACAATGATAATTTAATATGATACAATTCAGAAAATGTTATATCATTAGGTTATTAAATTATTGCATCTGAGCTCCTAGAATGTGCGGCTCTCCTTTTCTTTTCAAGAAAATTTTATATAACATAAACACACTGTTGACAAGTAGGCTATGGTGTAATGGAATGTTTTGCCTTGTGTGGTATGTTTTGTGGGTTTTGACACTCTTATGTAGGTGTCATAACCAGCCATAAAATAACGCAATACATGTCACAACAGGTCTAAATATATGTGTCTGACAGTGTTATAACCATATTATGACAGGTTATGACACGTAACGTCAGCTGTTATGACATATTATGACACGGTTATGAACGTGTCATAACGTGTTATGACACTGGGTGTCAAGCAAAGTGTTACCAAAAAGACATGTAGGCTAATTAAATCGTTATGGAGCCGAGCGTAGACCAAGCCCTACAGTTTGAACCCAACACATGGCGCAGTACTTGGCTGTGTTATCATACAGTTCCATGGTTAGTGCAGGCAATAGACAAGGCAATAGCCTACTATTGTACACAATTCTCCCTATTATAATTCTATATACACTAATCTTCCAACATTACCATGGGTTAAAGAACTGAATGTGGCAATTTTCAGAATGAATCAAACCACTGTATTTTTGATTCATCAACATACACTGAGTGTACAAATCACTAGGAACACCTTCCTAATATTGAGTTGCACCCCCTTTGCCCTCAGAACAGTCTCAATTTGTCGGGGCATGGACTTTACAAGGAGTTGAAAACGTTCCACAGGGATGCTGGCCCATGTTGACTCCAATGTTTCCCACAGTTCTGTCAAGTTGGCTCGATGTCCTTTGGGTGATGGACCATTCTTGATACACACGGGAAACTGTTGAGCATGAAAAATCCAGCAGCGTTGCAGTTCTTGACACACCCAACTGTTCAAAGGCACACAAAGGCATTTTATCTTTCCCATTCACCCTCTGAATGGCACACATACAGTACACAATCGATTTCTCAATTATCTAAAGGATTAAAAATCATTATTTAGCCTGTCCCTTCCCCTTCATCTACACTGATTGAAGTGGATTGATTTAACAGGTGACATCAATAAGGGATCATAGCTTTCACCTGGATTCACCTGGTCAGTCTATGTCATGGAAAGAGCAAGGCTCTCCAAACCTGTTTTTTTATGATTCATACTTTCCTAACCCAAACATGTGCCTAAATAATCTACAAGATCAGAGCATTTTTAAATGTACCAGTTGGTGTTGAAATGGAGACGAATATGCATATATTTAGATCCCTATTTTCTGAACCCGTTCTCTCAATGTATTCTAGTCTGTCCACAAAATTCTACTTAAAGGTACACCGTAAAGATGCACTATGCAGAAATCGCTCCGCTATTTAAAATTGTAATAGTTCTCGTAATTTCAGTTTATGTGACAAAACAAACAGTCATTGTGTAGAGAATCATTGTACCATCTAAACCGCTGTGAAATATATTTTCCATAACCAAAAATATTGCATATTCAGCTGTTTGAAGGTGGTGTACAAAACCGAAAATAAAAGATGCAAAAAATAAACTTCAGAACGGGAAGCATAGAAATAGCACAGATAGCACAGATCTACCGCTTCTTAGACTTGCTTTCAATGGGAATGAAAGATCTATAACTCACATGTCTATGTGAATTTGGTCGAGTCGCCCAAAAAGTTACATATTGTAGCTTTAAAGGGATGGCTTAAGATAAATGTACTGAAAACCCTATTGAATGAATACTCAACGAGAAAATCTATTGGCCAGCAAGTGGGAGGGCTTTTCAGAGATTGAATTACATTTGTTTATTCAGTGCGCGCAAGGAAACCATACCTGCAAGGTCCGTTATGCACCTTCATAAGGTAAGTCTGAATACCAACTACTGAGAAGTGCGTAGGAAAGACGTGAGAGAATCGGGCCCTATGAGAGAGGGAGGACGCAACCTTGAGCTTTGTACTATACATTCTACATTTTTACATTTTTAGTCATTTAGCAGACGCTCTTATCCAGAGCGACTTACAGTTAGTGAATACATATTTTTTTTTATACTGGCCCCCCGTGGGAATCAAACCCACAACCCTGGCGTTGCAAACACCATGCTCTATCAACTGAGCTACATCCCTGCCGGCCATTCCCTCCCCTACCCTTGACGACACATTATGTAACATACACTGAAGTGGTATATCGATAATAAGCATTTATAGAATACAGTGATGTAAAAATCATAACCGCTATAGAGTAGAGTGCCAAATTAAAGATATTTATTACTATTTATTTTAAAAGCATCATACAAATCATCATCCTTCCTAATTCCTACTAACAAGTGAACCTCCAACATTTCCTGATCTTGTGGATACATATCACTCTTAACGGTTGGGATTACCATGCATCCTCCTACTAATTAGACCAGTGAGATGATGAGGAGACCCAGCAGAAGAGGGAGAGAGCTCAGTCCAATGTCCATGGCGTTGTTACACAGACTCCCCTTACAGCAGTTGAAGTTAGGCGTAGAGGGGGATGTCTCGTACGTGCGGCATACATTGGCGGAGGCACAGCCCAGGTGTCGTCCATCATTACTTCCATCACGAGCGGGCACTGGCAACATGAAAAACAAAAAAAGTCATTAAAGCAAAGGTCAATTACTTTCCAAGGGATTTCATGCCACTGAAAATGAGCTTACCTGTGTATTTGAAGCAGTGGTCTTCAACTCCAACACATTGTACAGTTGTGTTGCAGACTTTATCCTCTTCACTCTTGCAGGAGTAACATTGCAGTTTATTGGGCTTGTCATTGAGTGCTGTACCACAGGTGAAAAACAATAATGTCAGTATCCTGTAAAGCCAGTCCTTAATTAAAACTACATATTTTAAACTAAATATCAAGCACTTGATTGATCAATTATTTGATTACAATCGGTTGGATTGTTTGTCATATGGCTGTGCTTGTGTTGTCGCTCAGTTGTGTAACCTCTGTGTTAAGCAAAGAGACATTCACTTAACACATGTTTCAGATGTCATGTCACTGTTCTGTCCTTTATTAAGATTAAGATCACTTTATTGGTCAAATCAAGTGGTCCAACCGAAATGTGACTTCCACTTTTAAACCAACCCCTCCGAAAGACACATATTGTAAATACACATACAGGTTTTGGAGAGGTGCGGGGGGCTGCCACAATGGTGGAGCTAGGATTTGATACCAGTTTAGTGAACTGAGCGATTCATAAATAGTTGCTTCTTTATAATGCACATTGTTGAAGAAAAGTATCAAATTAAATCATGCTGCCAGATTATTATGAGGTTTATGGTATGTTTATTACTATGCACAATGTTACACTAAGAAAATGTTGCCCTTAGTGTTTCTATGAAATACTGAAACTACGTCATCAATGTGATTCTGAGAGCTTGGGAATTTAAGAAATTAGAAACTTTCTGATGTATGATCTTACCAGGGAGAGTATTTCTGTTGCAGCCGTCCGTGCTGCAGCAGTACGCGATATTGGAGGTGTGTGAATATCCACCACTCATTGATGTTTTTGTTGTTGCATCCATGAACACACAGGTTTCCTCTCTCGTTATGCATTCCTTAGAGACTCTGGTGCCTGATGGAGAGTAAAAATGACTTCACAGTGACTTTAAAGTGAAAGGGTTTATCTGACCAGGAAAAACTCTGGACCATGTTTATAGTGTAATCAGCCTGGAATTTATTGCAACCATTCATTACAAGAACAGACTAAACTCCAGACCAGACTTACCTAAATGACCAAATACTGTTGTCATGGTGGAACATACTTCTCCTCCAGAACATGTCTCTAACGTTGTTTCGCTGCATTCCTCAGACTCACAAGTGTAGCACTGTAGTGTGTCTGCTAATGAAGATAACACCAGATAACATGAATAAAGTTACAAAACATCTAAATATTGGTCAAACACACAAACTAATAATTAATAGATAAACTTTAAAACCAACTGCTGCTGTATGTAAGGTGAACATATGGACATTGTGGCTCCTATAACAAATTGGAACCAAACAACAACATTTAAAATGTTACCTGTGTAGAACAGTGTGAAGGTGAATGAGATTTTCAGGATTAGCGTCATCTTGGATAGCTTTGAAGTAAAAATAACTGGAAGATGGAAGTGGTTCTGTTCAAGCACTCAAATGTGAGTGCAAGTGAGTGACAAACACGCACAGTATGAAATCAAAACAAAAAAGTACTCACTTTCTACCATCTATCTTAAAGTCCTTAGAACCTACGTCCATGTTAATAATAATAAAAATATTTGGACAAAAGGCTATTGATCAGTCGACCTATTACAAATCATTACAATATTATTGGCTTACCCTTGTGAAACTGTTCTCACTGTTGTAAACTCCAGGCCTCTCGCGACATCAGGAAGAAATCAGGGATGTCTCAAATGTCCACTTACTGTTAAACAATAAATAGAAAGGAAATGTGACTTCCTTGGGCATGAAATCTTGTAGCTAGATCTCTGCACCTTCCTCCTACCAGTTTCTAAACAACACTCAAAGGTCATGCACAGTAAAGGTTACAAAGTCAAAATATAGTTGTCATAAAATAAAGAACATACAATTCCTACGTCTATCTTCTTATGCAATGCACTCTAATTCCTGAGTTTCAAGCAAAACATTTGATGATTACTTCATCTCATCTCAGATAGTTGGCAAGTTTTATGACTGAAATGTTTTTTGTGTGACCTGGCAAACCCTATCATAACATGCTTCCTCATTTGTTTTCTAGAGCGCACAATAATGACTCAAACGTTTTAGCATCTGTACCTTGGCTGGTGCCCACATTGATCGTGTCCTTGCTTTTAAATATCTCCGAATTTGGATAGATACAAGTTGTCTTTAAAGAAAAACACATACAGTAGATGGGTTAACTAAGAAGCTGATAATAAAAATGGCTTCTTCTATAGAAATACTATTAATTAATAGCAGAAAGCAAATAATTCAGTCGATGTTCCTACCGATCCTAGACTATGGTGACATCATCTATGGTGACCTTCTAAAGTCAAGGAGTCAAAGAAATTGGACTTTGCTTGGGAAGTAATCTTATACAATGTGTGACTCTGTCACTATCAATTGATCTATTTACTTTCTGCAAAAAGATAATATGTATAATAACATTTAAGGTTCGTATAAATTATCATAATACAACATATTTGGTAGCGGAATAACATTTGGGGAAATGGGGTCTAGACTTTATTGTCCTTATCTGTTGTTATTATTAGTATTAAACAGCCTATCTAAAAGATGTCATGAGTCTTGTCAAATGGGAAAGAGGTTGGGAACCACTGCTCTTGGGCAGTTCAGACTGTTAATTGAGGACCTTATTAATGATGAATGTGTTTGTTTTCTATGATCTCTATGTTCTATGTTCTGTTTTGCATTTTGCATTTGAATTTGATGTGTATAGTTTTGTAATTACAGGGCTCATCTGTAAAATAAACCTTGGTCTCAGCATGACTCCCTGTCAAAAGAAAGGTGAAATGTAAAATAAAATAAAATAAAATGCAAGTACCGTTGTGAATAAACCACAGCATGTTTTTATAGTGAATTTTTGTTGTTGTTCCTAGATCAATCAATAGAGACCATGTTCACATGAATCACCCCAGTCTGCTGGTTCTCATCAGGGCAATTACATATTTCATCTTTGTATAAAAGTTGACCATGTTTAATGTTATCAGCATCACCATACATACATATTCTTCCCTTAGTTTAAAAATAAATAATTCACAGACTAATTATTTTCACAATTGTCAACTAACTAACATTTTTCTCATACTTGAGCTGTATCCAGGATTTCTCCAGACTCCAGACATACTGTACACACCTGTTGAGTCAAGCCCTCACAGTACACACTCCCTCATATTAATAAACCACAGTGTGTGTTTAAAGTTACATTGTTTTTATTAGTCTTCCAAGAGCATTTATAGAATAAAATATTGCAAAAATCAGATCCTGATACAGAGTAAAGAGCACCATTAAAAAATAAAATATTAAAACTGCCTACATTTTATTTTAAAAGCATTATACAAATCATCATCCTTCCTAATTTCTTCAAACAAATTAACCTTCAACATTCCCTGATCTTGTGGATACATGTCACCAACGGTTGGGATAACGCATCCTCCAACTAATTAGACCAGTGAGATGATGAGGAGACCCAGCAGAAGAGGGAGAGAGCTCAGTCCAATCACCATGGCTTTGTTACACAGACTCCCTTTACAACAGTTGTAGTTAGTAGCAAAGTGGAGTTTCGCAAACAAGCGGTATGTGTCGGCTGAGGCACAGCCCCTGTTAAGGTTGTAGTTACTTCCATCTTTAGAGGGCTCTGGTAACATGAAAAAAACACAAAGTCACTAAAACATGTCACATACATTACCGTTCAAATGTTTGGGGTCACTTAGAAATGTCCTTGTTTTCCATGAAAACATACATTAAATTAGTTTGAATAGGAAATATAGCAAAATGCATAGGAAATGTGGTCATTGACAAGGTTAGAAATATTGATATTTAATTGAAATAATAATTGTGTCCTTCAAACTTTGCTTTCGTCAAAGAATCCTCCATTTGCCTCAATTACAGCCTTGCAGACCTTTGGCATTATATTTGTCAATTTGTTAAGGTAATCTGAAGAGATTTCACCCCATGCTTCCTGAAGCACCTCCCACAAGTTGGATTGGCTTGATGGGAACTTCTTACGTACCATACGGTCAAGCTGCTCCCACAACAGCTCAATAGGGTTGAGATCCGGTGACTGTGCTGGCCACTCCATTATAGACAGAACACCAGCTGACTGCTTCTTCCGTAAATAGTTATTGCATAGTTTGGAGCTGTGCTTTGGGTCATTGTCCTGTTGTAGGAGGAAATTTGCTCCAATCATGCGCCGTCCACAAGGTATGTCATGGCGTTGCAAAATGGAGTGATAGCCTTCCTTCTTCAAGATCCCTTTTACCCTGTACAAATCTCCCACTTTACCACCACCAAAGCACCCCCAGACCATCACATTGCCTCCACCATGCTTGACTGATGGCATCAAGCACTCCTCCAGCATCTTTTCATTTGGTCTGCGTCTCACAAATGTTCTTCTTTGTGATCCGAACACCTCAAACTTAAATTCGTCTGTCCATAACAATTTTTCCAATCTTCCTCTGTCCAGTGTCTGTGTTCTTTTGCCCATCTTAATCTTTTCTTTTTATTGGCCATTCTGAGATATGGCTTTTTCTTCGCAACTCTGCCTAGACGGTCATCATCCCGGAGTCGCTTCTTCACTGTTGACGTTGAGACTGGTGTTTTGCGGGTACTATTTAATGAAGCTGCCAGTTGAGGACCTGTGAGGCGTCTGTTTCTCAAACTAGACCCTCTAATGTATTTGTCCTCTTGCTCAGTTGTGCACCGGGGCCTCCCACTCCTCTTTCTATTCTGGTTAGAGCCAGTTTGCGCTGTTCTGTGAAGGTGTCACGCCCTGATCGAGAGAACTCTCGTTGATTGGGTCAGGGTGTGAGTTTTCTGTTGAGATCTATATTAGTGTATTTCTATGTGGTAGATCTAGGTTGCATTTCTGTTTGGCCGGGTGTGATTCCCAATCAGAGACAGCTGTCGCTCGTTGTCTCTGATTGGGGATCATACTTAGGTAGCCTGGTTGCCTACCTTAGTTGTGGGATCTTGTTCCTGTTAGGCTTGTATGTGTATAGCCCTTTGGACTTCACGTTACGTTGTTTCTTGTTTTGTTGTATGTTTATTGAGGTAATAAACATGTACGCTTTTCACGCTGCATCTTGGTCCGACCCATCTCTCAATGATCGTGACAGAAGATCCCACCAAACGAGGACCAAGTAGCGTGGCCAGGAGCAGACATCCTGGACATGGGAGGAGATCCTGGATGGTAAGGGATCTTGGACATGGGAGGAGATCCAGGCTGGGATGGATCGCCGTCCATGGGAACTGACAGAGGAAGCCCGGGTAGGAGAGGAGCAACGGCGACACCGACGGCGCCGGCCGAGGAGGAAGCCCGAGAGGCAGCCCCAATAAAAAAAATTGGGGGGGCTAAAGGGGTGGTCGGGGATTGAGAGAGAAGAGCCCCGACCACTGCACCCGGTGGGGTTCCAGTTGGAGTCCCTACGACCATGGGAACAGGAATGGGAACAGTTTTACATGGAGGAGTTGGAGGATGACGACGACGATGAGGTTCTGTTCCCTAACTCGTGGGGGCTCCCGGAGGAGTCGTCACTGGATGAGAATTGGCGAGAGAGAGAGAAGGACTGGAACAGTCTGAGAGAGGAGGCCACCACGTTACGGGGGCTGTTAGCTCAGAGGGAGCAGGAGTTATCCGTTCAGAGGGAGGCGCTACAGGAGGCTCAAAGGGAGAAGGAGGTAGTGGAGGCACGGAGAGAGGAGCTGGTCAGGCAACAAAAGGAGCGTGTGTTCATTGAGGAACCTAGGTATGCGGAGATACGCACTGTGTCGCCAGTGCGCATTCACAGCCCAGTGCGTCCTGTGCCAGCGCCCCGCACGTGTCGTGCGAAAGTGGGCATCCAGCCAGGAAGGGTTGTGCCGGCTCAATGCTCCTGGTCTCCAGTGCGCTTCCACGGTCCAGTATATCCTGTGCCAGGATAAACATGTACGCTTTTCACGCTGCACCTTGGTCCGATTTTGAGCCTGTAATCGAACCCACAATTGCTGATGCTCCAGATACTCAACTACAGTGAGGGAAAAAAGTATTTGATCCCCTGCTGATTTTGTACGTTTGCCCACTGACAAAGACATGATCAGTCTATAATTTTAATGGTAGGTTTATTTGAACAGTGAGAGACAAAATAGCAACAAAAAAATCCAGAAAAACGCATGTCAAAAATGTTATCAATTGATTTTGCATTTTAATGAGGGAAATAAGTATTTGACCCCTATGCAAAACATTACTTAGTACTTGGTGGCAAAACCCTTGTTGGCAATCACAGAGGTCAGACGTTTCTTGTAGTTGGCCACCAGGTTTGCACACATCTCAGGAGGGATTTTGTCCCACTCCTCTTTGCAGATCTTCTCCAAGTCATTAAGGTTTCGAGGCTGACGTTTG